GGTGTGGCCTCTTGGCCGTCCGCATCCCTATCTTCCCCCTCCTGCTCTCCCCGAGAGTGTCCCCACTCCACCCGGCTGTAGCTGCAGCTGTCCCTGTCCCCTCCATTCCCGCAGGCCGACGATGTGAGGGTGGAGGGGGCCTTTCCGGTGACCATGCTGCCGGGCGATGGCGTGGGGCCTGAGCTGATGCACGCCGTCAAGGAGGTGTTCAAGGTGAAGGCGCCTGACTGGGATGCCCGGGGTGCGGGTTGGAGAGGACCCACCCGGGGGGCCACCCGGGACCCAGAGGTGATGGAAGGACCTGTTCCTTCTAGGCTGCGGCTGTCCCAGTGGAATTCCAGGAGCATCACCTGAGCGAGGTGCAGAATATGGCCTCGGAGGAGAAGCTGGAGCAGGTGCTGAGCTCCATGAAAGAGAACAAGGTGGCCATTATCGGTAGGCGTGGTGTCTGCCCTGGGGGTCCTTTGGTCCTTTAAGTTCACCTGGCATTAAAGGTGGACACTGCTTGCTTTCCCCACACTGGACACCACTGCCCCCGGGCATTTATCAATGAGGCCCTGAGGGTCTGCTCCATTCTCCTGTCTTAACATCTTGGGAATTGTGCTGCTAGAATGTCAGAGCACCCCCCTCCCTTACTTCTGTCTTCCCTTCTGTCTCCTTCCTCCTTCATGTCCCCTTAGCCTTTTTTTTTTTTTTTTTTTGGCTTCCTTTCCTTTCCTTCCTCATCTGCGCACCTTATACGTCTCAGATTGGGATGACCTTGCTCAGCACAGCTGGAGCGGAGCAAAGGGAGTTCTCCATCGGCTGGCTTCAGCTTTTCTGCTGGGGCTTCTCCCGCTCCCTGCCCCCCACGTGCTTGTGTGCTCTGATCAGATTAGACTGTGCAACTCCACCTGCTGTCTTGACTTCTGCTCTCCCCCTGCCCAGCACCTTGTTCTTTGGATGCTACTAGAATCCTTCTTGCTCATGCCTTGTATTAGTTTCCTGTGGCTGCCATTAAAAAATACCAGGAACCTGGTAGCTTAAAAATAGCACATACATTCTCTCCCAGTCCTGGAAGCTAAAAGCCTGTCCTCATGGTATTGACAGGGCCACATTTCTCAAGACTTCCAGGAAAGTCCTTCTGTCTCTTGCAGCTTCTGGTGTAGGAACAATCAATTCCCCAGTCCCTGCTGCTGGCTTCTTAGGACTTCCGCCTTGGAGTCTTTGCATTTGATCCTTTGTCACTGGGCCCATCCTAATCTAGGATGATCTCATCTAAGATTCTTCATTATGTCTACAAATACTCTTTCCAGAAAAGGTCATATTTACAGGTTTGGGGATATAGGGTTTGGACAGGTTAGACTGAAGGTACCTGTTGGATTTACTTCACTTTAAGCTTTGCCTGAGGTGCCAGCTCCCTGGGACATCCCCTGGCAGACCCGGGGGATTCCTTCCCTGTGGTATTCGCCAGGTCTTCCACACTCTGATCTTCCCCAGCACATTCCGTGCTCCTGGAAGGCTGAGCGCTATGTGTTTTGGGGCTAGCACATCCCTATTGCTTGGCAGGTAGTCGATACTCGCTAAGTGCTGGTTGACAGATGTCAAATAAGTAGACACAGAGACACCCAGAAAGGTCACAGAGCTCCTACTGTTCTTAACCTGTATGAAACAAAGGCTCTTAGGGAGAAAAATGTTATCTGTCCTCCTTTTTTTTTAAAGATTTATTTTATTTTTATTGGAAAGGCAGATTTACTGAGAAGGAGAGAAGGCGCTGGTTTGTGCCCCAACCTGAGCCAATCCAAAGCCAGCAGCCAGGAATTTCTTCCAGGTTTCCCACACGAGTGCAGGGTCCCAAGGCTTTGGGCCATTCTTGACTGCTTTCCCAGGCCACAGTCAGGGAACTGGATGGGAAGTGGAGCAACTGGGATACAAACCAGCGCCCTTATAGAGTCCTGGCACATGAAAGGCAAGGATTTAGCCACTGAGCCATCGTGCCAGGCCCCTGACCTCTATTTTGGGTCATTGAGAATTTTCAACATAAAGTACATCCGGTGATGAAAAACAAGGCAGCAAGTTCCTCTGTTTCGCCTGCATTCTTGCCTCTCGGCCCCAGAGGCAGCTAGAGGCACCAGTTTGGGAGTGGGAGCTGGGAGTCAGGCTTTAGCTGTGTCCCTGGGGGCGTTGGATCCCAGTGCCTCACATGCTTGCCCTTGCTTGGTTTGTGCAGGAAAGATCCATACTCCGATGGAGTATAAAGGAGAACTAGCCTCCTATGATATGCGGCTGAGGTAAGTGGGAGACGGGGCATGGCCAGAGGAGTGCACGGGCACCTGGCATCGAGCTGATGGCTCTGTCCTCCTCTAGGCGGAAGTTGGACTTGTTTGCCAATGTGGTCCACGTGAAGTCGCTTCCTGGCTACAAGACTCGGCACAACAACCTAGACCTGGTGATCATTCGAGAACAGACAGAAGGGGAGTATAGCTCCCTGGAACATGAGGTGAGGCCCTGGGAGCTAGGGAGGGCAGGGACAGAGGAAGGCGAGAGGTGGAGCTGCTCCTTACTCTTAATCCCACCACCACCTGCTGCTTCTCTCATGTCACCCAGAGTGCCAGGGGCGTGATTGAGTGTCTGAAGATTGTCACTCGAACCAAGTCTCAGCGCATTGCGAAGTTTGCCTTTGACTATGCCACCAAGAAGGGGCGGAACAAGGTCACAGCTGTCCATAAGGCCAACATCATGTGAGGGACATGGCTCTGCCTACGGGTGGGTATCTGGGGAGGCAGCCCCCAACACCGTCCTGACGGATTTTCTTCCCTTTGACCCTCGAGCAGGAAGCTTGGGGATGGGCTGTTCCTGCAGTGCTGTGAGGAAGTTGCCGAACTGTACCCCAAAATCAAGTTCGAGACAATGATCATAGACAACTGCTGCATGCAGGTGAGGCCCTCTGGGTCTCCACCCATTGCCTCTGGGCTCAGGGAGTACGGCCAGTGACCTCACTGCTGCTCTTCCTGCCCACATCTCACCCAGCTGGTGCAGAACCCTTACCAGTTTGATGTCCTTGTGATGCCCAATCTCTATGGGAACATTATCGATAACCTGGCTGCTGGCCTGGTCGGGGGAGCTGGTGTGGTCCCTGGAGAGAGCTACAGTGCTGAGTATGCTGTGTTTGAGACGGTAAGCAAGCGAGCTTCCTCTCCCAGCCTGACCATGCCATCCCCCTGACCTGCCACTCCAACACCACTGTCTTCTCTGATGACCTTGGCTGCTCTTCCACTGTCCCTATGCTGCTTTTCAGTGACCCTTGCCTACCCTCCTACATAATGCTCTGTCCTGAGCTCAGCCTTTGCATACCCTCCTCCCATTCTGGTCTACCCCTCCACAGGGAGCCCGGCACCCGTTTGCCCAGGCAGTGGGCAGGAATATCGCCAACCCCACAGCCATGCTGTTGTCAGCTTCCAACATGCTGCGGCATCTCAAGTAGGTACTGGGAGGCTGAGGTGGTGGTGCTTGGGCATCCTTAGTGGGCAGTGGTCCTGGGCATGGCCTTAGTTTCGTCACGTACCTGTTGGCAGTCTCGAACATCACTCCAGCATGATTGCAGAAGCCGTGAAGAAGGTGATCAAAGCTGGCAAGGTGAGCGGGGAGGCTGCTGAGCTCCGGGCTGTGGCCCTGCGCTGGCAAGCTGAAGCAGGTGCCTGCTTTCTCTCGAGGCCCCAGAACATCTGCTGTCTCTTTCCTTTGTTCCTCTTCGGGGCTGTTCTTTACCTCCCTCTTTGGCTGTTTCATCCTCTTGCTGTACTTGGCTGCCCTGGGTTCCCATCTGCTGGCCGCCCTCTCCTGCTTCATCCACTGATCTTTCAGGGGCATCTGCAGGCAGCACCTGTGGCTGACCGGGGTGTAGTGTGAGGCAAGCCCTGGCCAGCCTCCCTTCTGCTGTGGTCCCCTTTGCTGCCTCTTGCTCTGTCTCCTTATTTCTACCAAGGTCACCTCATCCTTTCTGATGTACCTCTTCCTCCCTCACTTACTGCTCAGCCTTCCCATTCTGCCTGGGTAGCAGCACCACCCTCCTGGTGGCTTGGCAAAGGCTGGGACTTGGCCCTGCCCTTCCAAGCCCGGCCCCTTCCTTCCATCTTTGCTACATCACCATCTTGTGGCCATGTCACCTCTCCTGGTATCCATCTCCTTGGTCACATTGCCCTACCACACTTCATGGGCTGTCTTCTCTCCTTCCCCACGGCTGTCGCCGCTGGTGGTTGTAGGTGCGGACTCGAGACATGGGCGGCTACAGCACCACAACCGACTTCATCAAGTCTGTCATCGGCCATCTGCACCCCCATGGGGGCTAGAGCCCCGTAGTCCTCCCAACCTCACCGGGACCATACACCCCTTGTGTGCAGTGGACCATACTCGCCTCTGGGCAGAGCCCAGGTCGTCCTGGGGCTGGCTCCTTAGGGAACAGTGTTGCTGGTGGGGGGCTGTTAGGGACAGGGCCCAGGCCACAGGATGATGGTAATTCTCACCCACAGGTTCGCACCTCTGACATGGGTGGCTATGCCACCTGCCACGACTTCACTGAGGCTGTCATTGCTGCCCTGCCCCACCCATAGGCCCTGCCCCTGGTCATGTATGGCGCTCAATAAAAACAATATACTGAGAGATGTGATTTTTTTTTTTATTGGGGTGGAGGCACAGGTTGGGAAGGGTTGCCTTGGGGGGGGTACCCTCCAAGCAGTGTCCGTGCTAGTCTTCCTGGGAGGCCTTGTGGAGCTTTTTCTTTTTCTTGGTGCTGCTCTTGCTGCCAGCAGCCTCTTCAGGGCTGCTACCAGGCTCCTCCTTGGAAGAGAACTTTCGCTTTTTCTTGGAGACCTTCCTGTTGCCCACCTCCTCCACATCATTCACCACCACCTCCTCCTGGGCTGAGGACTTCTTCCTCTTGGGAGGGCTTGCGTTGCCCTCTTCCTCTTCCAGGTCATTATTAACCAACTCCTCCTTGGAAAAAGATCGCTTTTTCTTGGGTTTGGAGGAAGAGACCGCTGGCTCTTCCATTCCATTCTCCTGAGGAACCTCCTGGGCCTTTTGCTTTTTCTTCTTTTTGGGTTTTTCATGCACCTCCTAAAGGGTAAGATGGGGGAGCCCAGTCTTAGGGAAAGGTGTCACCTGTGGTGCTCGCATACACACACACCCCCCCATAGGAAAGTCCCAGCCATCACAGCCACAGGGCAGAAAAACTGGCCAAATTCCCTTACAACAGCCCAATATTCCTGGGGAAGGGATGTTAGTTGTGCGGGTATACATTTGGAAGTCCATCCAACATTATTCCCCGCTAGAAATTCTGGAGAAAGTATTTCAGCCCATTAATGGCCTGCAGAAAAGCCCACCATGCTGTTCAGGTCAGTCCCAGAGGGGACCCTAAGCACAAACCCCCTTGCTAGGTGAAGAGAACCCAGAGGGACTGGGGGGAAACTGGCTTGGCACCTGGAGACCTCCCTGCCCCCAGCCCCACTGTGAGACACTACCGCCTCCGGACACACGCCTGAGAACAAGAGCAGAGTTTACACTACCCCCGGTTGAGGACTCCTGGGAGGCAGCCGAGGACAGAGCCCACGTGCCCAGGGGACGGGCGTGTGCTACAACCAGCTCTCTGGGCTCTTGAGCAAGTTCTCTCAGCACCTATCTCCTTCCTATAGAATCAAGAGGCAGTTTGAGAGGTTTCAGTCCACAGGCCTGGGATCCAGACCATGGCTCCACGCAGCACATCCTTGGCTCTGCTATGGCCAGTCCTGTGACCTGGGCGGCTTTCCCGGGGTGGCCCTGCTACTGACCTCGCACTCCTCTGGGGTGCTGCTGCTGGTCTCCGGAGATGCCAGCGCCAGTGCTGCCAGGCGCTTCTTCTCCTTCTTCAGGCGTTTCTTCTCCTGCTTCTCCAGCTTGCGGGTGATCTCTGCGGCTGCCTCCTCCGCCTGGGCACAGAGAGGCACTGAGGCTGGCTGAGGACACCTGCCTCTCCCAATAAGCACCCCATGGCTGCTGGCTCTACTGGATCAGGCTCATTAAATCAGTTATTTTGTTTTGCCTCCATGCCACAAGGTCAGGGTAATAAGATGGCTCATCATCTCCAACAGCCAGCTGCAGACCCCACACCCCGAGTGAGCCCATACACACAGACCTGAACCATGGCTTCCTTCATGACATCCAGATTCTTGCGTGGAATTTCCCCAGTCTCGTAAAAGGATAGTCGCTCCTCAACTTGTTCTCGAAGTTTCTCCCCAAATACACTTGTGGGTACCTCTGGGTGTGTGTGTGGTGAACAGGGAGGATCAGCCCTTAGGGTCCAACTTCCCCCAAACACAGGAGTTCCCCTCCCTCTACCCTTAGCTTCACTCAGACCCAGAGTCTCAACACTCACTAGGTGAACTGCTGTTGACGAAAAATATGACCATCATTGTAGAAGCTGCTAAGGTGGCTGTCCCCCCTCCCTGCCAAGCCCCTTCTCCTGGCGACTGCCATCCCTCCCATACCAGAGAAGCAATCGATTCGCGAGGCAATACTGCATTTGTTGGCCAGGTAGCGGGAGATGCGGCCTTTGTTCTTGGCAGCTGCTCGGCCAATGAAGGTGGAGTGGAAAATAAGTCCATATTTTGGTGTGTTACCCCTTGTCTTCAGGGCTCTGGGAGAACATTCAGCGGAGAGTTGAAGATCAGCATTCACAATCCCCTTCCAGCCATGGCAGCTCCTCCCGCTTCCTCCCCTCCCACCTGGCCTCCAGAGTGCCCCTCTAGCCGGGCTGAAGCATGGCCAACCCAGCTCCCAGAGGCAGAGGGAGGGCATCTGACAGCTCTGACCTGGATGGACACTTGGTCCCTTTGTTGGGCCCTGGGAATCACTCAGACACCAGGACCGGCCATCACTCCCACTGCAGAGGGCTGCAGGGGTCAGGGCGCCCTAGTTGGCCATCACCGTGATTCCCTAATAAGCACTGGCACCAGAAGTGGCACCTGAGCACTGGCAGGTGCCCTCACTGGTACCTGAACAGGGCCTTTTCAGCCCCAAGGATCTGCACTGTGGATGCTGGGTACTTGGCCAGGTTGGTGAGGCTGCCAGCGTGAGCAATGAGACGTGCACCCACCTGGAAGAGGTTTGGGGAACGGGTCAGAGCAGCTCCCTGATAGGCTGCATGATCCCGTGCACACACCTCCCAGCCCCGCCCTCTCCATTTTGTGCCCTCTGGGACATACCGCTTCTCCGATGAGTGCTGACAGACTGGGGGCGACCTGGCTCATCTTGGAGCGCAGGTACGTGTGGAGGCTCTGGCGGTACTCCGACAGCGACACCACGCGGCTGGAGAAGCTCTCAATGTTGATCAAGTCAATGGCAGAGATGTCCATGCCTGGAAACAGCAGTGTGAGCCAGTGCAGGTGCCGGGTTGTCTGAGTACTCCACTTGGGGCTGGCCGCGGGGCTCTGTACTGACCCATGGACGACCGCGAGGCATCCAGGATGGCCTTAGCTTTGGCTCCATCCATCGTTAGCTCCTCCAGCTTTTCCAGCTTGTCCTCATTCAATTCCCTTCGGTTCCCGATGAACTGGGCGAGGCGGCAGTAGGTGGCGTTGTCATTGATGATCTTCACCAGCTCCGGGAAGTGATAGCCATACCACTCCCTGTGGAGAGTCGGTCACTGCCCGGCTCAGCTGGCACCCCTCTGAACCACGCCATGACCCCTCCACCCCTATTGTCCACCTAAAGGAAACAGGCCAGACTCGATACCCCTCAATTCCGTGTTTCCCCATTCACAATACAGACCAGGCATGGGGTACAGGGCCTGGGCTGGGGTGTATATGGGGAAGGTCTGCTCTGCCTCCTCTTCCTATACAGCCAGTGTGTAAGAACACAGCCTGTGGTAAGCACCGGGAGGCCCAGCCCTCACAGTACGACCCCCTTGAGCCAGCCAGTCCCGATCAGAATCCCCAGTGATAGGCCCAACACCCACGGCCAGGGTGGCCTGAACTCATTACCTGACACGCATGGAGAAGGTGTTGATGTCTTTGTCCAGCTGGTCCAGAAGGCTGATAGACTGGATGATCATGTTGTCCACCCGGTTCACATTGAACTTCACTTTGGCACGAGAATAGCTGTGTCCCAGCCCCAGCTGGGCTTTACATGCCGACACATCAGTCAGACCCTTCACCAGATTATGGAAATGTAGACGAACTCCTGGAGGGCAGATGTGTGGGCACAAAGGGCACTCAGCTGGCTCCTGTTCCCGGGGTGCTGCCAGCCTACCAGGAGAAGACCTCCTTAAGCAGCTACCCCCCATCACCCCAGAGAAGCCCTTCAGAGAGCATTGTGGTCAGGACTGGCCTCACCTCGCAGGATCTCGGCTATGACTCCTCCGGTCTGGCAGTTGTAGCCCAGTTCCTCTTGGATAGCAGCACCGATCTTGGGGTCCCCCACTCCCAGGAGCACCTTCTTCTTCTTGGACGGCAGATGTGTCTCCAGTAGCAGGCGGAGGTCCTCGTGAACGACGCCTCAGGACAGAGAACACAGATCCCACTAACTAGCTGCAGGGGGCTGGGGGACCCTTGTGGGGCAGTCTCTTCAGCCCCTCCCCTCCAGGCATTTGCTCAGAGACATGGAGACATCAATGACAGTACTCAGGGGATTGACAGATTTTTTTGAGTCATCATTGCAAAGCCTGGCTCGACTCCACCATGGGAGAAGCTGGACTCTGGCTGCCCAAGTGTGTAACACAGCAGACTGCTATGCCTGCAGGCAACTCCGCATAAATCCCTGCAAATGGATTCCATACCCAAAACTAGACGTATGTGTCTCAAACACACCTGTGGTAAAGCTTCATCTATTAATTAGGCACAGTAAGCTGTGAACTAATGAACACATGGGAGAGCATTTTATAGACATGGAACAGTAGCCAAGTTATTGCGGTGCTGCAACCTCCCCTTCCGACGCAGTGCCCGGCTGCCAGCCGAGGCTGGCCCCCAAGGACTTGGGTCTCAGGGCCCACGTGGGAGACCCGGAAGCAGCTCGTGGCTTTGGATCAGCTCAGCTCTGGCCATCGCAGCCATCTGGGGGGTGACATCTGCCTTTCCATTAAATTACTCATTGAAACCGTGTCAGCAAAGTGGCACATAATTTAAAAAACAAGTGTCGCATAATTCAAAGTATGTCATATGCCAATTTACCTTCTGCGACCAAAGGCTCAGAAGTACATTTACTGCACATGTGAAATACACACTTACCCATTTAATTTCAACATTTGCGTGTGCCCAGCACACATCCGACCTAGGACACACAGGCCGAAACCACCACACACACACACAAACACCTGCCGGCGGCCCGCTTACCTTCGGACACCGCATTTGCATTTTCCAAGGCAACCTGGGACGAGGAAAAGGGATTGAAGGCCACGAGACGGACGATGTTATGGAACTTGCCCAGGTTGAGCACACACTCCTCCACCTGCGGAAAAGACGATGAATGGCTTCCCTCCCTTGCTCGAGCCCGCGGGGCGCAGTCGAGCCACGGACGTCATTATTCCAAAAACCAGGATGGCTCCGCCCGGCCCACGTGCAGGGTTCAGCCTCTGTAGGCTCATTTCTAAGGCGATCCCGGGTCCCAGCGACAGGGTAAGGACGCCCCCCCCACCTTCTCCCCGCGCTGCCGGCCACGTGGGAGCGCGCGGTGCATGCCGGGGGGCGCACGGCCGAGGGGCTGCGGTGCGGCCGGGAGAGCCGGCCTATCCCACCCACCCACCTGCGGCAGCAGCAGGCTGATCTCCTCCACTTCCTTCAGCGCCAGAAGCGCGTATCCGACCGCGTGCTCGAACAGCACGTGCAGGAGCACCTGGAACGGGGCAGCAGGGGAGCAGACGTCAGCGCAACCCACACGTTCGCCCAGCACCCCGACTCCCAGGCAAGCCCGAGCTCCGGGCCTGGGCTGGAATTCGAATCTCGGCCCAGACCACGGCCTCCCAGAGGCCCCGCGACCCTCACCACTCCTCACCATGGCGTCCGCTCCTCGCCCGGCTCGCAATGCGGCTAGGCGCGCTCTGGCGCGCAGAACCGGGCTCCCGAGGCCCCGCCTCCCGCCGCGTCGGCCAATCAGAGGCCGGGGAAGGCACCATTTTAGCGACTTCGTAGGGGCAGTCTCCTGAGGTGGTATCGGCCGGAGCGCGCGCGAGCCGGTCTTTTCCGGTCTCGGCGGTTGCCTGGGACGCGCGTTATTCGGTGAGGCCCTCGCAGGCCGCGGAACTGCGTGGACGCAGAGCTTTTTCGGGTGGTAGCCCGATGTCCCTTATTTTCCGAATATAAGGGGTGGGCGACGAAGCGCAGTGACGCAGGGGCTAGATGCTCAGCGTGGGCGAGCCCGTGGGCGAGCCGGCTTCCCGCCGCGTGGGTCCTCGTGGGCTCCTGGCCACTCCGCGCGCCCCACCCCCCTAAGGACCCCAGGCCCCGCCGCCCACTCGCGGACCGCCCTCCGAGGTTCTCCGGGACGGGATGGGGCTTGGCTCAGGCCACGCGGGGAACATGGCTTCTGGCAGCTTCACCGCGGCTTGAAGGGGTTACTTCGGTTACTTTAAGAAAGGGTTTTGGTCAGGCAGTAATGGAGGGAAGGGGCCACGGCCCGTCTTGCGGGGTCGGCCCCTTGTTCTCTGCTTCCCGGACGGGAGCGGCTTTGGCAGGCCACGTGTTGCTCACGACCTGCGTGGGCGCTGCTTCCGTGTCCTGCCTGCGGCTTTGGGGCGCTCAGGCGACTGTTTGAAACCCCTTTTGCTTTAAGTGAGGAGTTAAAAAAGTCCAAACCTATTTATGTCCGGATGACAGTTCAGTTATGGCATTTAATATTTTAGAGTGGAGTTGGCAGAGCCGATCTGTTATTTCACTTGGCTGAATACACCAAGTTAAACATGATTGCAAGTGTAGTATTAAGTACTAACCCTAAGATGTCAGTTTTTCAACTACTTCGTTATTTCCAAAAAGTGCTAACTCTTGCTGAAGTTACAGGTGCTTACCCACTAAGAAGTCAGGTGTCTAAAACATTTAAAAATGTGTGTAAATTTGGGGCTGGTGTAGCATGGTGGGTAGCAAAGCTGCGATGGCATATGGCATCTGCTCTGAAAGCCCTCTGATCCAGCTCTCTGCTGCACTGTCTGTGACAGCAGTGGAAGAAGGCCGAAATGTGGCAGGCCTGAGTGGTGCTCTGGCTCCTGTGCTTGCAGCCTTTTAAGGAGTGAACCAGCAGACAAAATTTTCTCTGTGTCTCTGTATAACCTCCTTATTGCAAATAAAAAATTTAAAAAGTAGAAAAGGGTGTCACACTGTAAGATATACATATGTAGGGCCTGGCGTGATAGCATAATGACTAAAGTCCTTGTCTTGAACACGCCAAGATCCCATTTGGGCCCCAGTTCTAATCCTGGTGGCCCCGCTTTTCATCCAGCTCCCTGCTTGTGGCCTGGGAAAGCAGTTGAGGACGGCCCAAGTCTTTGGGACCCTGCACCTATGTGGGAGACCTGGAAGATACACCTGGCTTCGGATTGGCTCAGCTCCAGCCGTCGTGGCCACTTGGGGAGTGAGTTGTGGCCACTTGGGGAGTGAATCATTGGATGGAAGATCTTCCTTTCTGTCTCTTCCTCTGTATCTCTGCCTTTCCAATAAAAATAAACACATCTTTAAAAAAAAGATATACATATGTATACATAAATATACATAGAAGTACATACATATGGGGTTGGCACCACGGCATAACACATAAAATCACTACCTTTATTATATATAAACATTATCCCATGTTTGTGCCAGTTGCCAATTTTTTTTTGGTAAGATTTTATTTATTTTTTATTGCAAAGTCAGATATACAGAGAGGAGGAGAGAGGGGAAGATCTTCCGTCCGATGGTTCACTCCCCAAGTGACCACAACGGCCGGTGCTGTGCCAATCCAGAGCCAGGAACTTCCTCCAGGTCTCCCACACAAATGCAGGGTCCCAAGGCTTTGGCCGTCCTCGACTGCTTTCCCAGGCCACGAGCAGGGAGCTGGATTGGAAGTGGAGCTGCCGGGACTAGAACCGGCACCAGTATGGGACCCCGGCACGTTCAGGGCGAGGACTTTAGCCGCTAGGCCATCGTGCCGGGCTGTTCCACTTTCAATCCAGCTCCCTGCCCAAGTCCTTGGGCACCTGTACCCACATGGGAGACCTGGAAGCTCCTGGCTTCTGACTGGCTCCGCTCTGGCCATTGTGACCATTTGAGGAGTGAACAAGTGGGTGGAAGATCTTTGTGTCTCCCTCTATGTAACAATGCCTTTCAAATAAATAAATAGGGTTTTTTTTAATGTGTATGTACAGATAACTTTCTTATGTACACACATAAAGTATATAAAAACCTGGGAGTCAAAAGATAGCCCCAGTCAGACTTGGGTGGGTTGGAGTCCTCAGCTTCCACAGGTGCTATGCTAAAGGATAGTGTTGGGATAAGGGAGTATGCAGCATTCCTTCAGCTTTCTCAGCTTACTCAAATTCCTACCCTAACAACCATGATCCCAGCCCTCTGGGCGGTTTTTACCAGTGTGTGATGTTCTAGATCCTTCCCTCCTTGATTGTCAGCCTCACTGTTCCTGCCTAGGTCAGATCCTCCCCACGGGTGGGCTCAGTCTTTGGTGCCTCTGTCTTCATTTTCCTCTGCCTGCCAGAATCCATTCCGTTGTTCTAAGGCAGACTATCCATTCAGGTTCAGTTGATGCCCACAGTGGCGTGGAGGAGTGGGAAGATAATGGACCACGAGTGGGAATGGCCTCCCAAGATGGCCACGCATGATCCAGGCCCTGTGTTTTCCCCCACCTCTCTGGCCTGGGTCTGTGATTGGATTTAACCAGTAGAAGGTGATTCTGTGCTAGTTCCATGTTCTAATGGTAACTGGGTGATTTGTTGATCAAGTGTTGAAACCAGGGGAAGATGGCCGCAGTGTGTACATTTTTTTGCTGTTGATCAGCATCTCCAATCCTTCTGGCTTTAATGGAGTCGGAATCCTCTCCTCCCCAGCTCTTCAAAACAGCAGTGGGGTTTATGAGAACACGTTAGCATGCAGAGCCTGGTTGCCATGGAGAAGGGACAGTGTGTTCTTTCCAGGCTGGCGTGACCCTGATGGCAGGCATCCTTGTATGTGCATTAGGCCCAGAGGAGTCATTTTAACCTGCACTTTCTGGACAGGAAGATCAGAGCCGCAGTGGGGGTGGGAGGGAGTGCAGTGGGGGAAGGGAGCAGAGAGATGAGCCTGAAGCAGCATCTCTATTTTCTGAGCCCAATGAAACAGTTGAGTTCAGTTGACCTGTGTGTTACCAGACATTGTTTCTTATGAAGCAGCTTCCTGTCATGAATAAATTACCTCACCCAGGCTACTTACAAAAAATCTATTTGAGTTCACAGTTTTGGAGGGTCCCAATAGCAGAGGGAGATGATAGAGTGTGTTGGGGCATCTTGAGCCAGAAAACAGGTGGAGGTAAGTAGGGTGAGGTCTACTCTGAGAGCAGGAGTCTTGGGAGATCTACTAGGTGTCGCTGGAAAAGACCTTGGCTCCCAGTAACTTAAGGATCTCCCACCGGGACCCACCTCTTTATGATCCACTGCCTCCTACCAGCCGAGGGACCAAGCTTCCTACGTAAGAACCTCTCAGGAGAAAGAGGACACAAATAGTTAAAAATCAAGACACAGATGAGGAATCATTTATTAACTCCTTGTGTTCAGGAAGCTACAGAGATCAATCAGTTATTATATTCATTAAAAATTTGTGTGGAGCGCAGCTTAGTAGCCTAATGGCTAAAGTCCTCACCTTGTATTTGCCAGGGTCCCATGTGGGTACTGGTCATATCCCCGCTGTTCCACTTCCCATCCTGCTCCCTGCTTGTGGCCTGGGAAAGCAGTCAAGGACGGCCCAAAACCTTAGGACCCTGCACCCACACGGGACACCTGGAAGAAGCTCCTGGCTTCAGATCAGCTCAGCTCTGGCCATTGTGTCCACTTGGGGACTGAACCAGAAAGCAGACCTTTTTTTTTTTTTGTCTTTCCTCTCTGCAAATCTTACTTTGCAATTAAAGAATTAATAAATTAAAAAAAATTGTGTGTATACTGTATACCAAGTACTTGGAACACAGTAAAAATCAAAATTAAATTAACATCATAAAAGATGCTGCAAGTGTTAGGGAGCACTGCATTGTCTCATGGAGGACCTTGGTGCAGAGGTGATGGGGAGCAGAAAGGGAAGCAAGCGAGCCACCCATGCAGAGGATGGGGGGTGAATGAAAACAGCAGTTGGGAGTGGGTGTTCACCTCTCATCACGTACTGGACTGCTTGGGTTCAAGTCCTTGGGTCAAGTCCAGCTCTTGACTCCAACTTCCCACCTATACACACCCTGGGAGGTGGTAGTGATAGCTTGAGTAATTGGGTTCCTGCCACTCACGTGAGTGACCAAGGTTGTGTTCCCTGCTCCCAGCTGTGGAGTGGTCTGGCTTTGGCTGTCATTAATATCTAGGGAGTGAACCACTGGAGAAGACCTCTTTGTCTCTCTTGCTCTCAAATAAATGAAAAATGGAAACAGTGGTAATAAAAACCCATGATCTCCAAGTTAAAGACATAACCCAGAGACTGCAATGCCTTAGCATGGAGGTTGACCAAGTAGGAGCCTGGGGCAGTGAGCAGGGGTGGGCTTTGTGGCTAAAAGGTACTTTAAGTCACAGGAGAATGTGAGAATGGAGAAAATGTGGAAGCAAAATTCCTGTGGGGCGTTAAATTCATCCAGTCAGTAGTTAGACAAAAACAGAACTTAGAATGGGAAAAGCTTTGAATGGAAGCTGGGATGAATGGTTTGGGTCTGAGGAGATTCTTGATCCTGCATCAAGCAGCATTTGGTTGGAGATTAATCCAAGTAGAGGAGAAAGTTTGCAGAACAGATTTCAACTGAGTGTGTGCTGCCTGGGTGGGCAGGTCTGAGTGGGGCTGCAGGTTTGCCAGGAATGTGCCTGCCGGTAGGAGCCATGGGGCATGTGGGTCTTTTTCTAGGTGACCCTGTTCACCCATTGGGAGGGGAGCATGCACTGTATCACATGACCTTGATGCTGTTTTGGTGTAAATTAACTTTGTTTTTATTCAGCATAAATGGGGATCTATGGACATAACAATCAGGAGAGTCTGAGGGAAGGAAATTGCGTGGGCCCACCACAAGATGGGGACACCTTACACTCAATGTGCAGGTATGAAACTCCTTACCACGGCGGCAGCTCCTGGGCCCTTTGCTGAACCATGCAACGAAGCCCCGGCGCCCTCCGCGGTCCTGACTCACACAAAGGCCATGGCTCTGTATGGACGCAGAGGAAGGAGGGGCTCCCCAGGAAGGCTGTCAGCCCTGGGTTGCTTGTATTTTCTGGAAGTGATGCTGAAGATAGCAATAGATGAGGGTTCCCAGGGTAGAGGTTTTGTGTAGGAGTGAGGCTGTGTTCACAACCTGGGCCTGAAAGTATCTCCATCTTTTCTGAGCATGCAGTATCTTCCTATTTGCTAGACACTGGGCACACTCTCTCAGACACATCACCTTGTGGGACCTGTCTCAGTAACGTTTGGAGGTTGGCTGTGTAGAGTCCACTGCAAGGAGCTGGTTCAGGGACATCAGTCTCTATACTCTGAGGACTTCATGTAGCCAAGTGTGACCTTGGACACAAAGTCGCTGTACTGGAGGACAAATGGCCCTGTGTGATCCTGCATATGGGTGTCAGGAAGAGCTATTCCCAGCACTGAAAAACAAATTCAACCTACAATTTTAAAAACATTTAAATTTTTATTTTTGTTTGAGTTGCACAGTGACCAAGACAGGCACTCTCTCCCATCTGCTGCTTGACTGCTCAAATGCTGATAATGGCTGAGACTGCAGCTAATCTAAACTGGAGTTAGGAGCCTAGAGCTTAGTCAGGGTCTTCCACATGAGTGGCAGGGACCCAAGTACTAAGTCATCATCTGATGGCTACCAGGGTGTACATCAACAGGAGGCTGGAATTGGAAGCAGACCTGGGACTTGAACCCCAGCACTCTGATAAGGAACATGGGTGTCCCAAGTGGCGCTGTAGTTACTGCACCAAGTACATGCCCCCATAACCTCGAACATTTGATGATATTTACGAGAAGCTAAAAACGATAACATCTATATCCCCCAAATCCTTAGGTTTTAAAACTAAATCTCGGATCTGGTGCGATAGCGTAGTGGTTAAGGTCCTTGCCTTGCATGCACCAGGATCCCATGTGGTCGCCAGTTCTATTCCCAGCGGCCCTGCTTCCCATCCAGCTCCCTACTTGTGGCCTGGGAAAGCAGTCGAGGATGGCCCAAGGCCTTGGGACCCTGGGAGACCTAGAAGAGCTCCTGGCTCCTGGCTTTGGATTGGCTCAGTTCCAGCCATTGTGGTCACTTGGGGAGTGAGCCATATGACAAAAGATCTTCCTCTCTGTCTCTCCTCTCTGTATAACTGACTTTGCAAGAAATTTTTTTTAAAAAATCTAAAAATCTATGGGCTTTAAAAATATCCATTGGATAATCTTTGCCTTCTAGCTAGAAAATTTAGTTCATTTGCATTTATTTTGAGTCCTGATTTAGTTTACAAAATATTTTATTTGAAAGGCAGAGAGATGGGGATGGAGGAGAGAGTTCTTCAGTTCTGGTGGCTCACACCCCAAATAGGCACAACTAGTGCAAGGCCAAGCTGAAGTTAGGACCTCAGAACTCCATCTGGGTCTTCTGTGTTGGTGGCAGGGATCCAGGTCCCTGAGCCATCGCCTGCTGCCCTTCACGCTACACAGTGGCAGCAAGCTGGAAGTGGCAGCAGAACACTGATACAGAGTGCAGCGGTCTCTCAACCTCTATGCCAACGCTTGCCCCAGCCAGGACCTCAATGTAAGTCTCCCATGTGCCTGGAAGAAGCCCAATAATGGAAACCGTTTTTGTCATCACTCAGTGTCTGCACTGCCAAAAGGGTCAAGTCAGAAGAAGAGCCAGGTATTGAACCCAAGCGCCCCGGTGTGGTACATGGGTGCACAAACTGAAATCCTAACCACTAGGCCAAATGCTCATCCTGCACAGTGATTACTTTAAGGTGTCAATGCTTTAGGGATATGCTATTATAAAGCACTATGTTCCCTCCATAAAATCGTGCTCCATTAAGACAGGACAATTGGTTGGAGTCTGTGTTTGTCATGGGTGTTTGGACGTATTGGTAGACATTGGATGCCTGCTAGCAGTCACTAGGATACTGATGGCTCTAGGAGATGACCCCTCTTGTTCCCTTCCCCAGCAGCTGGCATTATCTCTGTAGGATGGAACTGAGGGCCCGGTGCTGGCCTGGTGGTCCTCTTTAGACCTTCCATTCCTGCTTGGCTGGAGAAGATCACCTGGGTTCCTGTGTTGAGCCTTCTGGATTTTCATCTTGACAAAGAATTCCTGAGATAAGCTACTATTTTTTTTCCCCAGCTCTTGATTTTGGAGGTCACAGTACAAAAGCTGACAGCCCCATGAGTCTATCCAAGGCCTACCTTCAGCCCTTAGTCCCTGCACATAGGACTCTGGGGATAAAGCCTTTGCCACAGGGTCTCATTTTCTAAGTCACAACAAGGTCTCAGGTAGGTCAGATCAAGATCCGTCTGTTTCCTAGTAGAATATAGCAGGTGGCACAGGGCAGTTTTATATTTGGGAGTTAGCCCTGGGCTCTATGGAGACGAGGCCTTGCAGTGTCTGCTTTGGCTTTGCCCTGAGATGAGCTTGGATGAGATGATTTATGCTATATTTCTTGGACATTAGTCTCCATTCCTGCACCATTGCAGAGTGTGTGAAGATGTGAGGTTGGGCTAGGAAGAGGAAGGAGTTGAGTAGGATCCCAAGGTTATTTTCATTATGTAGCTTATGAAATTTTTAAAATCTCCGCCTTGCCTCCTGGTGGTACCTGACTTCCAGTTGTTGGAGTTCTCCTGGGAACTCCTGGGGACCTTGTGGCATGGCAGGATGTCTGGCTCAGGGACGGGACTCCCTTGTGGAGATGTAAGATGACACAGTTCCTGCATCCTGCAGCTACACTATGTTCAACACAGAGTAGTGGCAGGAAGAAGCTGTCTGCAAGGCACCCGGACCTGTTGGCCAGTCCTGGTCGGTCACCCCATTCCCTGCTAAGCCGCTGTCCCTGCTAACGAGGCTGAGGCCTACACCGTTGAGAGACACCCAGCAGAGAATCATGATGAGATGCCAAGCAGTCACAGAAGCATTAGGGACAAGGCTCTGTGTCATACCTTTGCCACATGCGTCAAGTAAACCATCTTCCAGGCACCGATAAGCAGATTATCAAATGCCCTTTATACTCTGGTGAATGCAAAACATTTTTCTGCCTTGTACAGTATTTTGTTTCTTTTAGGTCAACAAGAAGACTGTTGTTACCCCTGCTTTGTCTCACTACTGGGCAGCTCCAATGCATTGTGCTTAGTGGCAACAGGTGCCCTAAGCGGGATTTGGGGATGTCACCCATTTTCCTGTCTCTGCAGGCTTGCGCTGGAATAGAGATGACAGAATCACCTTGACTCTGAAACTTGTGAGCATGTTGTCCTGAGACAGTGATGGGAAGGTAGGTTTTGTTTTTGTTTTTATTTTGTATTTTCGTTCCCTGACCAGTGGGATGGGAAATGCCGTGGAAGCAGAGGGGCTTGTTCTTACGGTGTTTTTTTGTGTGGCTCAGCTTGGACTCTGGGAGGCAGGAGTGCCTTTGGCCGAGGCCTCTCCCATTGCTCACTGCATGCCATTCACAGCCTGGGTTTTACATTAGTGAGGCTCAGCCACTTTTCTGTCGTGGTCCTGATCCCATCTCATCGTAGTGCAGTGGGATAAAGGCTTCACTTGTGGCACTAAAACAGCATGGGAGAACAGGAGAGATGCTTTGGAAGACTGGGAAGATGTCCTTATGGTGCTGCTGCCGGCCGAGTTGGGTTGAGCAGGTGGGGTTTTTGGAATGACTCTGCAGCTCATGCAGAGTGGCCTTGGAGCAGAGGTCTGGAGGGTGACTGGTAGATTTGAGGAGGAAGAAGCATCCAAAATGTCTAGAGCACAAGGCCCACATGCTGGTGGTTCAGAAGTGACCTGGACATTTTGCTTAAACTGCTTCACATCCTTTGGAGAGAGGTGGTGGTCACAAACACAGTCCCCTCTGCAGCCCCCTCCGAGTTAGCACAGAACCCAGGACCCTGCAGAGCCCCACAGACAAGGTCTACAAGGGTGGGCGGCGAGGGCCTGTGTCCTCCTTCCAGATTCTGGAGCCAAGGGAAGCCACTGTGAGCGTGAGGTCTGGAGTTGTCTGTATCAAGATACAGGTGACAGTGGTTGCCACAGGGGTGACGCCAGCTCCCCTGCTAGGGCTGGGACAATGCATCAAAGTGTCCTTGTTAGCACAAATGAAATAAGTTTGTGGGGAGGAGTTGGGGCCCAGAGTTCAGCGCCCCCTCACCCTACACCGTGCACCTTTGAGTCTTACTATCAGTAGTGAGGCCTCTGGGCACCCTTTCCTGAGCCTGACCTCCACAGATGAGCCTATGACCGGGCTTGGCCAGGATCTGCTCTGACACCAGGGGAATGAGCTCGAGGGAGGTGCCGGGAGGCAGATGGTATGCTCCTGCCGGTGACACTGGCATCCATCCTGGGGTCCTGTGCCTTCTTGTCCTGGGTCTGGCTTTGGCTGGCAGAGTGAGGTGTGGTTTCTGGGAAATGAACCAAGACAAGAAAGAGGAGGAGAGACGTTGTGGGTAGTTTGAACTGGAGCTCTCTGGAGCGGCCCTGCAGCTTCCTAGTGAATAATTGTCAGCATTCTAAACTCAAGTTTCCTGTTAGCCTCATGTCACATCATGGACTCTTGACACATTTCATATGGCCTTGCAGACAGTGCTCACCATGAAAAAGAAATTACCTTCCTTGGTGAGTTGGAGTGGGATGGCATTTTTGGAACTGCTTTCCAGTGGATGCCCTGGGTCTCTGGCCGTGGCTTTGCCTTTGAGAGATTTGTGGCTCTTCTCGACTTCACGGAGCTGCAGGGAAAGACGGACTCTGGGTCTGGTCCAGGGACACAGGCCCCAGGAGGGCGAGCACTGGAGGGCAGGATGGGGTTGCTAACCACCTGCAGCCACTTGCTATTTGCTTCTCACTTCTGCTAGGAGAGGACAGCTCAAGGCTCCCAGATGTGCACAGCATTTGGAGGGATATGGAACCACTCCAATCCTATCTTAATGGTCTCTGTATCTGGCAGGAGCCCAGAGAGGCAGGCAGAAAGAACTGAGGGTGTGTACAACCAGCAGCCACACAGAGGGGATGAGAGGGACAGAAATTGGAAGGCAGGAGCATGGGACTTGGTCAGGGCCTGATCTTGCGGGGTATGTGGAGTAGGGATGGGAGAGCTGTCAGAAGTCAGCCTACAGCTGGGACATTGAGGGAGGCGGCTCAGGTGATGGGACCCAGGAGACGTGCGAAACCAAGGCGCACAGGCACAGTGTCCTAGCCACAGTGTTTCTGTTAGAATCTGCACTGCTTTCATCTGTAGGATTCATTCTGGGCCTGAGATTCATCCTGTCCTACCTCTGTGGGCCCCATTGAATTTCTTTCACTTCCTGGCTACCTCTCCACATCATTGTTCCAACCCCTCAAGACCCAGAAAGCAAGGCTACATCCTGTAAGACAGATTTGTTTGGGTTTGGTTTAAGAAAAACTCCATTTACCTAAAAATCGAATTTAAAGTAAAAGTCAGTGAAAACCAAAACCGTCACAACTCCCCTGGATGAAACTCCCAACAGACTCACCGCCTGGATTTTCTTCCTCAGCTGGGTATTGGCTCGGGAAAGACTTTTGGAAACTGAGTTCAGGTAGTAGATAGCCAGGCTGCAAGAAAAAAATGTGCCACTTGGGCTCTGGGTGAGGAGGCTAGCTGAGGCTGGGTGTTCCAGTTCCCCTCCAGGCCAGTGGCCCTGGGGCAGCTGGGGAACTCTCCCTGGGTTCTGGGGAGGCTGGCCCCATCAGACCTGCCAGAGGTGGAGGGAGCTCTGAGGAGGAGAAGCAACAGATGTTGAATGTCTCGGGGAATTGTAGCACACAGGCAGGTGGACATTATCCAAAGCACAAGAGATAACCATGGAGTTAGCAGGGATGATGATATTAAAGAGGTCTGTCAGAGGCTGTCCAAGGACGAAATTTCAATCCAGACATTGGCCATAATGGCAGGGGTAAAACCTCTGAAAATGATCTCCACCATAAAAATAAGAAGAATACAAAGCGAAGATTGCCAGAATCAACTTCCTCAGAACTCTGAAATTAATGCCAGGTGTGCAGCGTATCTAGCGTGTCTACTCAAGGAAAACAGAGGATCTCAGCAAGAACAGGGAGCTTGGCAGCATTTCAACTCACTAATCCCTTCCTTTCCTCATTTCTGCAAAGCTCAACAGTGCGAACAGCCTTTTCTTCAAGAATGTATACAAATGAACATAACTACAGCTGGTACAGTGGCACAGAACCAACATCTCATATGGGCACCAGTTTGAGTCCCAGCTGCTCCACTTCTGTTCCAGATAGAGATCAGGTTTATGGCTTGGAAAAGCAGTAGAGGATGCCTCAGGTCCTTGGGTCCCTGTATTCATGTGGGAGACCTGGAAGAAGCTCCTGGTTCCCAGTTTTGGACCACCTCAGCTCTGGCTGTGTGGCCATTCAGGGGGTGAACCAAAGGATGGAAGATTTTTCTCTTTCTCTCTCCCTCTCTTTGTATAACTCTTTCAAGTAAAATAAATCTTTTTTAAAAATTAACATCATGACCATGTGAGGTAGTGGATAGCAGTTGGGGTATGTAATAGGCTAATGAGAAAGCTTAAAAGGAAGAAATAAGGAATACAACACACACGCACAGAGGATGGGATTTTAAAAGCTCCAAGATATTCCTAGGACTCTAGAAAGTCATGCGCATGCTTTGTTGGATTCTGTCCATGCCCAGAGCCCTGCATGTTTCTGGAAAAGATTTGAGATATTTTCTTTTTAAAGATTCATTTTTTTCTTGGAAAGACAGATTTACAGAAAGAAGAGACAGAAGGAACTTCCATCTGCTGATTCATTCCCCAAGTGGCTGAACAGCCAGAGCTGAGCTGATCTGAAGCCAGGAGCCAGGAGCTTCTTCCAGGTCTCCCAAATGGATGTAGGGTCCCAAGGCTTTGGGCCATCTTCCACAGCTTTCCTAGGTAACAAGCAGGGGGCTGGATGAGAAGTGGAGCAGCCAGGACATGAACTGGTGCTCATATGGGATCATGGTACTTGCAAGGGGAAAGATTAACCTGTTGAGCCATCTTGCTTGGCCCAAGAAGATTTTAAGAAGCTCTCATCTCTGACAAAAATTGCCTGAGAGCACTGACTAAGCCGAGTTTGACATAGCTGTTCCTTCAGCCTCTGGGTCACCAAATGAGCCTCCCTCTGCAATCAGTTATTCACTCATGGCCTTTGGCAGAAGCCAGACCAATGGGATGGGATGATGTCGGCTCGGGAACTTCCAAAAATGTGAACTGGAATAAACCCTCTTTCTTCCTCTGTGGCTCCTCTCAAGCCCATGAACATAACTGGGCAAAATCTCCAACTCTAGAGATTTCCCCCTTCAGTGAGTGATGGGAGCACTCACTGGTGGCCTATACCTGCAGGGAGAGGTGAGGCTGAGGCACCTCCCTGGCAGGATCAGAGCGGAGCCATCAGAATGGTCATTATGCACTTCCCTTTCCCTGTCTCCATTCCCTACCCACTCCTCTGTAACACACTTGCGTTTGAATTCTGTCTTAGAGTGTGCTTCTGAGGAATGCAGACCAAGAGGCTAAGACGGAAGGACCTGCCAAGGAAGTCTCAGTTGCAAGGGCTGGTTTGCCTGTGGTGGAGCCCTGGGCCCTGGGTCACTTACAACATCAGCAGGATGGCTGGGATGATGAGGCCTGGGTTGGCAAGGAAAGCGAAGATCTTGCCCAGGAAGGTCGGGAAATCATTTTCAATGGTCTCATGGAGGACGTCGTACATTCTGTTTTTCCCACTGGAAAGAAGAGAGGATGTGTTACAGTGTGCAGCTTAGCTCATCTGGCACACCCAACACCAACAGGCCTAGAACTGCTGCTTGCTGCCATTTTGCTGGAGGAGCCAGAACTCGGTGTCTGTTCTGGCTCCTCCAGCAAGATAAACAGGGATTTGCTCAAACTATAATGGAAGAAAATTGCCCATGATGTAGTAACATGCTCGGCAAAGGACCTCCTCTGAACTCCCCGCATGGAAACTACTTCACAGTGCCTCTCTGAGTAACCGCAGTCGACCTTCAGTTACAGCTCCAGGAGACCAGATTGCCTGGATGCTTCAGTGCTGGCTGGCTCTACAAATGTCTGTCCAGACACCCCTATGTTGGTGGCTCCTGGCTGGCACCAAGAAGTGGGCTTTGGGATTGGGATTTCTGGGTTCAAATCCTTGCTCCCTACTGTGGGACACCATCTGTATAATTGTACTCCTGAGGCCTGCCTGAATATCCTGGCTGTCCTCACTGGGACTACACTGTCATTTGTGGCTGTGAACAACCAGTTAAAAATCAGTTGAAATAAAATTAAGAAGTCAGTCTTTTAGTCATGTATGTCAAGTACCCAATAGTCAAGTGACTAGTAGGTAGTATAGTATAAGAGCAGACAGGTAATGCTTTCCTCATTAAAGAAATTTCTCTGCTGCAAAGGTGGGGTAGCTTTGAGCTCATTTGGGCCTAGTTCTAGTGCCTGCCAAAATGTTGTTACTGGCAGCCCGTGTTGTCCTCCTATAAACTTTAGATATAGCATTTGACTGGCAACAGCTCATGGATAAATCCAGCTTGCCACCTATTTTTATAACATAAACTCTGTAAGCTATGAATAATTTTTACATTTTTGAGTGGCTGAAAACAAATCTAAAGAGTATCTTGTGACACATAATTATTGAAGTACCAACTTTGGTATTTGTAAACAGTTTTACTGGAACACAACCATGCCCACTCATGTATAATGGCCTGTGGTTTTTTGGTGCTGTGAGGGCAGAGATGAGCAATGGTGTCAGAGACCACGTGTGGCCATTCTCCTGCTTCGGACTGCTGTGCAGCACACCACACACTGTAATGATGCCTCTATGACATGACAGCACTTCAGGTGTCACAGGTGCCACTATGTCATGACATTGTATTACTCATACATGGTTTTTGTGGAAAAACAAAGGGAAAAAAGTGGATTTCAAGTATTATGCTTTCAAGTCATGGGTAAGTGTGGATTCTTTACTCATTGATACAGATGTTGTGTTAGTTTGCAGTGTCTAGTACAACAAGTTCCTACACTGGCGGCTTCAAGCAACACAGTGGATTGTTTGAACATTCTGGAGGCTGAAGTCTGCCTTAGTTTCATAGCTCACAGCCAGGTGTTGGCATGGCTGTCCCCTTTCTCGAGAGGCTCTCCAGGTGTGTTTCCTTCCATTTTTCAGCTTCTACGGCTGCCTGCCTTTGATTCGTGGCTTCTTCCTTCTACAGATCCAACCACAGAGCATCTCCAGTCTCTTCTTGCTTCCATTGTCATATCGCAGGTGGCCCTCTGTTTCCTTCTTGGAAGTGCATCTGTTATTCAGGATCCACCTAGATAGCTCATGATAATCCTCCCTATCACAAGGCCTTTAACTCAATCACAATGGCACAGGCCCACTTGTTATTTAAGGAAACATCACAGGTCCCATGCATTAGGGCCCTGGTGTATTTAAAGGCCATTATTCAACCTACCACAATCTGTACTCTGACCCCTAAAGATTCATACACTTCCCACATGCAAAATATACCTATCCTATCCCTATGTCTGAATTCTCAACTTATTACAGCATCAACTTAAAGTTGAAAATCTCCTCTAAATGTCCTGAGTTCAAAATCCCTAGATCTCAGTATCAAAATCAAAATCTGGTGACTGTGAGACTGTGGGTATGATTCATCTTGGGCAAAATTGTACTGTGGAGCTGAGAAACCAGAAACAAGTTACTTACTCCCAAAAATACATAGGGGAAGTGTAGCTATTCCAATATATAAAAAAAAAGGAACCAGCAGTTTGAAACCCCAACAGCCAACACTATTAGGTTTCACAGGAAAGCCTGTGGATTCTTGGCTCCAGCTTCTCTGGCTGTAGTTGTTCCCTCCAGGTCTTGGGAACTGTCCTTCTTCCTTCCAGTAGGTTTTAGCTGTAGCATAGGCTTTGGCTGAGTGGATTTTTTTTAATTAACCTGCCTCCTGCCTTGTTTTCACTCTGCCCCTTTCTCTTCATGCTAGCAGTGTTTCTCCTGATAGAACATTCTGAAAAACATTGTGAATTCTGCATAAATGTCAAGGGAATTCGCTGTCAGATAAAAGGGTCCTGTGCGGTCTCTCCCGGATACTGCTAGCTCTAGTCCTGGTTTCTGCCCAGATGATTGACATCTGTGAGTAGCCCGCTGCTCCTCATCAGCATCCTCTGGGTGAACGCACGTTCATTGATTTTTGATCTCGCAGCAGCATCAGCAACAGGTTGTGCAGCCTTGCCACTGGCTTTTCCTTAGAGCTCCCTCAGTCTGGTGCCTGCAAGCCTGGAGTCTCCTGTGGATGAGCCATTTCATCCATGCTAGACTGGCCTGTCCTTTGCTCTAACTGAAACCCTGTTTGCATAGACCACACTTTGTTGGAATATTCCTGCTAACATCTGCTCTGGACCTCATCAAGCAGAAGGCAAATTTTCCCCCAATGGGAGGAGGCAGGGCTGGTAAGGCGGGTTGAGGTGCTGGGGTGCACAGCTGAAGGAGCCACACCAGCACAGTGCAGGCTCTTACTCACCGGCCTCACTTAACCTTTGGCCCCAGGTGTGGATAAACCCAGTGTACATCCATCATCTTAACTGCATGATTCTTCGTTTATGTTAAAAAAAGTTAGGGATTCAGTGTCTTAGTTTCTCATCTCAAGTGCTCAATGGCCATGCATGCCTGGTGGCCGCCATCCTGGGCAACACAGATGGAGCGTCTGGGAACGGCCAAGCTCCGTGGCTCTTCCTGGGCTGACCTAAAATGTGAACAGGAATCCGGCAGCCAGGAGGGAAGCAGCCAAGGCTGCGTACCTGAACGGGCCACAGTCAAAGGAGGGTGGGAGTGACATGATGGTGTAGGCCACCGGCAGGAGGCTGAGGAAGAGCACCAGCAGCAGCAGGCCCATGTAGAAGTTGTTGGAGCGTGAGGCCTTGAACACGCGCTCGTGGGGCACATTGCTGCTCATCACGGCCCAGCACTGGAAGTACATGGAGGTCAGCAGGCGCAGGACGTTGATGCCCACCAGTCCCGGGGCATAGAAGGAGCCCATCCTGGAGGGATACAGACCAGAGCCCTGATTGAGCTGACAGCAGGGAAGGCGAAGGGAGGAGGAGAGAAGGAGAAAAAGGGGGGCTGGCTCAGGAGCATGGAGCCCCGAGGTAGGGGGCAGCCTTCCATTTAACCAGAGCCTTTCTATCCCAGGTACCGGAGGAACATGCTGCCTGGGGCTTTGGCCTGAACTGCACCCCTGCCTTGCCACCAGGCAGTGGAAAATTGCCAGCTTTGCTCTGGGAAGCATTAAGAGAATTACAGAGTGGCTTGCAGGAGCTCGTGGCATTTCTAAAGCTTGGGCTGACATTCCCAGCCTCCTCTGCCTCACTGCTCAGAGCAGGACCATCCTTAGTTCATCTCCCCTCTGCTCTGCTGCTCCCTTCCTCCCTCCCTCCTTTCCCTTCCTTAGTCCTTCTTTCCCTCATTCCTTTTCTTCCCTCCCCTCTGCCTTTCCCCTCCCTCTCCCACTCCCTTTTCCTTTTCTCTTTCCCTCCCTCTCTACTTCTCTGGCAGCACGCGGAAGGGCTAGAAACTGCCTTTGTTCTCTAGTCCCACCCTCTATTCTTCTGTGTGTGAAAGAAGATTCAGAACTCCTCCAAACTACTTGAGCAGCAAGGTCTGGGGCGTGCAGGCTTTTTGAGTCCCTAGAGGAGATGATCTCTGGAGGCAATAGATAACATGGATTACTCACCAGATCATTCCCTGGTTGAAAATCAAACCCAGGACATTTCCACTAATGTCAAACTCAGCATACGAAGGCTGGGGAGGCAGGAGAGGAAGAGAGGGGCAAAGGAGGCAACAGAGAAGCGTGTTAGACCGCTATCAGCCTGTGGTCTAGTCCAAGGCTATTCCCAAAGAGCCTGCCCTGGACACTAGAAGAAAATCTAAGATTTAAGGATTTTGCTTTTCAAATTTCTTTTTCTTCTCCTCCTCTTCCTTTTCTTCTCCTCTTCTTCAATATTCTGATAAAAGGAGTCATTTTATAACCACAATTTTTAAAAAAGGTTTATTCATTTTTATTGGGAAGTCATTTACAGAGGAGAGACAGAGAGAAACATCTTCTAGCTGGTTCACTTCCCAAATGGCCACAAAGGTCGGAGCTGAGCTGATCCGAAGCCAGGAAGCCAGGACCTTCCCATGTGGATGCAGGGTCCCAAGGCTTTGGGCCATCCTCCACTGCTTTCCCAGACCATAAATAGGGAGCTGGATGGGAAGTGGAGCAGCAGGGATATGACCCAGTGCCTATATGGGATCCCGGTGCATGCAAGGCAAAGAGTTTAGCCACCAGGCTACTATACCAGGCCCCATTTTTTTAAGGCACACACAGATTTTTCCAACCATTGGCTCATTTCCTAAATTCCCACAACGGCCAGGCTGAAGTCAGGAGCCATCTTGATCTCCCATAAGGGTGGCAGGGGAAGGGCACAAGTATTTGGGTCATCATCTGCTGGTTTCCCAGGCATATTATCAGGGAATTGGATTGGAAGCAGCCAGTGCTTGAACTGGCACTCCAATATGAGATGCCAGTGTCATGAGTGGCAGCCTAACGTACTGTGCCATGCAGGCTCCTCATTCTTCTCTTTGAAGATTTTTTCCTAGAGGGACAGGCATCTGGCACAGTGGCTCAGATGCCCATTCATATCCATATTATAGTGCCTGGGTTCAAGTCCTGGCTTTGCTGCATAGTCTCGGATCCTGCTAATGTGCTTCTATGGAGGTAGCAGGTGATGGCCAAGTTCTTGGATTCCTATCGCCCACTGGGAGATCTGAGTAGAGCTCTGGGCTCCTGACTTTGGCCTGGTCCAACTGTTGCTGCATGTAAGATATTTTTTCTTTTCTTTAAAGCTTGCTTTTATTTATTTATTTAAAGATTTTAAAGTTTTTATTGGAAAGCCAGATATACAGAGAGGAGAAGAGACAGAGGGGAAGATTTTCCATCCTATGATTCACTCCTCAAGTGACCGCAGTGGACTGGTGCTGAGCTGATCTGAAGCTAGGAAGTCAGGAGCCAGGAACTTCTTCTGGGTCTCCCACACGAGTGCAGGACTTCAAAGCTTTGGGCCATCCTCAACTGCTTTCCCAGGCCACAAGCAGGGAGCTGGATGGGAAATGGCACAGCCAGGACATGAGCTAGCACCCATATGGGATGCTGGCACTTGCAGATGGAGGATTAGCTAGCTGAGAATTCTGTTGTGAAAAGAAAGGAAAAGAAGGGAAGGGTGAATAAAGGAAATGAAAGAAAAGGAAAAGTAGAAAAGGAAAGGAAAGGAAAGAATCCCAGCTTTTCCTACATGCTTATTTTCTGAATGAACGTCAGTGTTATTTGGGGGCCTTGTTGAACTTATTACTTTGAGGACAGTGACATCCCTGTGACCTTGTGCCTTTCTGTCAAAGATGGCATCCTCTGAGCATGAGGTTCTTCTCTCCTTGTTCTTAGACAAGTACAGTCTTTTTGCTGTTGAGAAGGAGCTGAGGGAGGTTGATTAAAACTGTGTCTGGTGACTAAAAGAGAAAAATGGATGGCAGACACCTGACCAAGGGTCCGTACAGAGTGAGGACCTTAGAGATGAACAGGACACGGAGCCTTCCACCAGGAGCTCTACTCACTATCTAGTCATTAGTGCGGGGGGAAGGGCAGTAAGGTGTTGTAGGAGAGACCAGCTTGGGGTAGGTGAGTGGGCCAGAGCTCACAGAAGTGACACCATTGGGATTTGCAGGTCAATGATTACTGTGTTCTTGGCATGTTCCAGGACTTCTGGAAACATTCATAGCCACTCCGGGTTTTTAGCCTCCCTAATAAACATAGAACCTGCTCAGATATTTATTTCTGTTTAACACTGAAGTGTAGTACTTCCCCAAGGCCAAGTGCTTCTTTCCCCAGATAGGAAAGCACATTGCCGAATGGGCATTGTAGAGTAACTGGTTAAACCTCTGCCTAACAGTCCTCGCTGCTCTGTTTCTGACCCAACTCCCTTCTAGCCTGCCTAGGGGGCAGTAGATGATGTTCCAAATGCTTGGGTCCCTGCTACCCAAGTGGGACACTTGGGTAAGGTTTGGGGTTCCTGACTTTGACATGGCTCAGCAATGGCTGTTGCAGGAATGTGCAGGAATAAACTAGTGGATGGAAGAATCTAGTTTATTAAGAATCTTTCCCCCTGGCCCTGGCTCTGCCTTCAAAATAGACAAAGTTTTTTATAGGTTGTTTTGTTCATTACACCAAGGAAAAGCAGAGATTATTATTTTAAAAGAGAACTCTTTAAAGGCAACAGATTAAACACTCTTCTGCTTCTCTGAGTGGAGGGTGACAAGAGCATCTGAGGAAGTAAAGTGCCCAAGAAAGCATCTGTTTGCAAGTACTTGCAGGATGTCAGGGACCTACAAAGCCAGCCTCCAGGTCCCAGCACCAGCAGTGGTTCATGAACCGGACAAAACAAGCCCGCAGGAAGTCCCCCACCAGGATGGTAATGTACGTTACCAGCATGTCAGACACTGTCAGCCTCATGAATTCCTGCAGGGAGGAACACAGAGAAAGTGGGTTGTCAGAGTTCGACCTTGGCCACCTGTGCTGTAGGGCTGCAGCCACATATTCACTCTGGGAAGCCATCTCTGAGATCCTCTGAATTGTGGCAGAGAAGTAGTGCAGAAACAGGATGGTAGGCTTTGAAGCATGCTGCTTTGAGATCCCACATCTACAGATTGCCGTTGTTGTGCCTTTGAGATAATCTTTGAACCTCTTGAAGTTGATAAAGGTTATCAGCCTTGCAGTGCTGGTGAAGAAGTCAGTGATTATGCTTGCAAATTGCCTGGTGTGCGAGTGATGCCCAGTGTGTGGTGGCTGTCATATTCCTGCAGAGTCAGGATCTAAGCCTCACTCTTAGCTCCCTCCACCTGCTCTGCAGTGACAGCTGCTCCTGCTAAGACTGACAGACCATCAGTCCCCGAGGACAGAGACCAGCCTTCCTTAGCACCTGGTAATTGTGATTTTTTTCCCCTTAATATGTACAGCAAGTAAACAATTTTTGCACAGAAGAACCTAGCAGATGAGCCAAAAACAAAAGAATGAAGCATGCTCTGCTTCTGTAATCTGCGCATATTATTTTTTTAATTTCTTGAAAAAATGGAAAGGATCTCCCAGACACCATCATTGTCTGAAACTTCTAATAGATCTGGAGTTCCTAGGGAACCCAAGTCTTTATTCATTTCTGTATCTTCTGGGATGATTAAGAAATGTTTGTTGATTGAACAGCTGATGGCTCTTCAAGGTTATTTCTCAATAAGAATTCAGAATGTGCTGCTAAGTAAACAATGAGCCTACACAAGTCAAGTATCTACCCGTGGAGGTGGGGGTGAATGGAGGTGAGCTCAGATAGAGCTCATTGCATTTGAAAGGCAGAATGAGAGAGAGAGAGAGAGAGGGAGAGAGAGAGAGAGAGAGAACGAACAAGAGAGAATCTTCCATCTACCCATTCATACTCCAAGTGGCTGCAACAGACAGGCTGGGCCAGGCCAAAGCCGGGAACCAGGAGTTCCATCCTGGACTCCCGCATGCATGGCAGGGAATACTGCCTACAGAGTTACATTAGCAAGAAAGTGAATACAAAGTGGAGTGCCTGGGGCTGGAATCAGCACTCTGAAATGGGATGTCAACATTGTAAGAGGTCTTTTATATTTTTTCAAAAATTTATCTTATTTATTTATTTATATTGGGAAGTCAGGTATATAGAAAGAAGGAGAGAGAGAGAGAGAGAGAGGAAGATCTTCCGTCTGCTCATTCACTCCCCAAGTGGCCACAATGGCTGGAGCTGTGCCGATTTGAAGCCAGGAGCCTGGAGCCTCTTCCAAGTCTCCCACACATGGGTTCAGGTTCCCAAGGCTTTGGCCCATCCTTGACTGCTTTCCCAGGCCACAAGGGGAGCTGGATGGAAAGCAGGGCTGCTGGGATTAGAACCGGTGCCCATATGGGATCTGAGTGTATTCAAGGCAAGGACTTTAGCTGCTAGGCTACTGTACCAGGCATAGTGGTCTTAACTTGCTATGCCACAGCACTGCCCTAAGAAATGCACTTTAATCAATGATTGAAAAATGATGGGCAGTCAGGGAGGAGGGCGAGAGATGTGGCTGCATCTCAGAGTTGCACAGCGGGTTGTCCCAAAGGAATCATGAAGTGATTAATTCCACCGTCTGATGAGTGGGGATGGTTGTGTTGACATGAGGATTCTTTCTGTTGGCAGTGCAGCAGGTGGGTAGTTGCAGGTATTTGGGGAGTGAACCAGCAGATGGAAGATCTTTCCTTGTCTCTCATTCCCCTCTCCTTGTTGTTTCACTGTGCCTTTCAAATAAATAACTCTTAAAAAGAAACAGAAACATCAATGAAGGAACAACCAAGCGTTGAGTAGGGATCACCTTGGCAGAGAGGGTGACACTCACAATGCCCACCGCCGTCTCCCAGCAAGAGCCCCGGGGCACGTCTGCAGGGTGCAGGGGTGGCCGGGGGGCACTCTCATTCCAGTTGGAGGAGTTGTAATAGTTAAACAGAGTCCAGTGGGTGATGTTCTTTATTGTTTCTTCATGAGAAAGCTAGAACAGAAGAGAAAAGCACGGGGTTGGAAAGAGCCAGAGATGGTCCAGCTGTTTCCATGGCAACAACAAGGCAAGCTGACAAAGGCCATAATGTTGTCATCCAGTTCTGACCCTGACTGAGAATACAGTCTTTCCAGAAATGTCTTCCACAAGCTTTCAGTCTATGCAGGAAAGAAGACAACTGACTTCAGTCCCTGCGTCTTTCCCATGCAGCTATTTTCTTCTTTAGGTTGGTGTCTTTCCATCTTCCATCTGCCATCCCGTCATTCATTCTTTCAAAAATAACTCATTTAGAGTTCGCTCTGGACATGTAAAGCAGACTAGTGAAGAACAAGGCTGGACTCATAGACACGGAACATAAACAAAGGAGTTGTGGGCAATTGTGGGGATTGATGAAGCCAGTGGGGGCTTTAGCAGTGAAGAGAAGATTAGCACCTGATGAACTGTATTACAGCATGGGGAGGAAACAGGGAGAGAGGCAAGAGAGAATTCTGCTTTGTGGAAGAAATGGAAGGCAAAGGAGGAAAAGAATTCTGGAGGAAGCGGAAAGCCAGAGATGTGGGTGGAGGTGAGGTCAGGTACAATCAGAACCGTCCAGTAGTTTCCTGTTGCCCTCAAGAGAGCGCTCCTGTGGATCAGTAATGAGGAGGAAGCTGGGGAAGGAAGGAGAGCAGCCAGCATCCCTCCAGTCTCACTTTTCACATTGTCTCCTCCACTCCATTGTTCTGTTATCATGAAACTCCTGGGTACCAGCACTGTCTCCTGCTTTTCCTAGCATGTTGGTTAAGATTTCCTAGAGTGTCACTCTCTAAGCCCTGTCATGCTGCCCTGGGCTTGCCCCCATGGGAACGCATCCCACATCTTTCTGTTCTGGAGGAGTTTGTCTCCCAGCCCAGAGTGTGGATATGCATGAAACAGGACCATGTTTGTTGTCTGCTGTATCCCAGGGCCAGGCATAGCAGATGTACCTTCAGGGTCTGGGGAGCACCTATGAACAGTTAGGTCAGCATGGCATATCCCCTTGGCTGCTAATCCTTTATGGCAGCTATTTGGGTCAGAGATTGTGGGGATTTTTTTCTTTGTACTTTTCTGACCTTCCAACACTTATTTTATTAACATGAATTATGCATAATGAAACAATTATACTAACAAAGGAGATATGATGGGTCCCAAAGACTAGGGAGTTTTTACCTTGAGGTGGACATCATCCATCAGGGCCAAGAGAAACGTGTAGAGGTTCCCCAGGAAGAGCGCAAAGATGCGTCCCAACTGCCACTTCAGTCCAATGCGTGGGTGGTAATTCTCCAAGGCAGCAATGGTTTCAAACAGAGGGGGACAAAACATCCCGAGCAGGGACATCACGATCTCCACCTGAGAAGCCAACCGAGCCCGAGTCACTTATGTCATCGATGTCACTTGCTAGGCTGTCAGCCCTGCATGCCCAAGACCATCGGTCTTCATTGCCTGATGTCCTTTCTCTGCCCTAGAGATGCCCTGGGTCTCCACATCTTGCTATATGATCCTGGCAGACATCAACCTGTCCTGAGCAATCAGCAATGTCTGCACATCATAACTGCTGTAAGGCTGACAGCTGTGTCTCTCATCATTCATTACAACAGCCAGGTAGAGGTCTCAGCTTTCCCAAGAACAGTAACAGAGCAGGTGGCTACAGTCTGATTGACTGCGCAAGTCACATGGCCCTAGCAAGCTGGATTTAAGGAATTAGGAATAAAGATTCCCTTTTCTTCATGAGAGACACTATAAAAATAGCATTGCAAAGAAATGTGCATCAGGGCCTGGCAGCGTGGCCTAGTGGCTAGAGTCCTTGTCTTGCACGTGCCAGGATCCCATATGGGTGCTGGTTCTAATCCTGGCAGCCTTGCTTCCCATCCAGCTCCTTGCTTGTAGCCTGGGAAAGCAGTCGAAGATGGCCCAAAGCCTGAATGGATTTTACTGTGGATCTCCATGACAGAGTATACTTTTCCAGATGCAACACATAAAGTCAGTAGATACGAATGTATTACTATTGTAAAACAGATAAACAGATCCAAGGAATGGTGGGGGCACACAGATCACACCCATGCTTTTACAGACACTTGGTTTGTGCTGTATGGCATTGCGGAGATGTTGAGGAAAGGACATACTTTTAAATAATTGGTGTTATGGGCCCGGTGTGATAGGCTAGTGGCTAAATCTTTGCCTTATATCCATCAGGATCCCATATGGATGCAAGTTTGTGTCCCGGCTGCTTCACTTCCCATCCAGGGAATTATTTTATTTATTTATTTATTTTTATTGGAAAGTCAGATATTCAGAGAGGATCAGAGACAGAGGGGAAGATCTTCTATCTGATTATTCACAACCCAAGCGGCTTCAATGGCCGGAGCTGCACTGATCTTAAGCTAGGAAGTCAGGAGCCAGGAGCTTCTTCTGGGTCTCCCACTCGGGTGTAGGATCCCAAGGCCTTGGGCCTTCCTTGATTGCTTTCCCAGGCCACAAGCAGGGAGCTGGACGGGAAGTGGGGCCACTGGGACGTGAACCGGTGCCCATATGGGATCCCAGGGCATGCAAGGTGAGGACTTTAGTTGCTAGGCTACTATGCCAGGCCTAAGATAAATAAATATTAATAATTGGTGTTACAACAATTGGGATATCCAGTTGACTGATACGTTAATTATAATCCAACTTCATTTAGTTAGGAAAGCCAGCTTTCCAGGCTTAATAACATGTTACTCTTCATTCAAGAAGTTACAGCTACCTTACGGCAACATGACATCCTCTCACCTTGTAAATCAAATCCTATAATCCAGCTCATCAATTAGTCTGCTAAATGGCGTGGGCAAGTGTGACCTCAGTGTCAGTCTTCACTGGGGGCATCCTTCTTACCTCATTCCTTTCATACCAGCTGACATTTTGCATTTTGGAGAATTCTTGGGATCGCTTTACCACAAAGTAAATGAGGTACCCACTCCCACACAAGCAGCAAATGATGAGAAAGTTGGCCAGAACACGCAGAAATCTTGTCAGATGGATATTTTCTTCCTTGTTACTCTCTTGTTCATCCACAATTGATTCCTTAATATGGGAAAATGAGATGTGAATAATTTCAGGCCAGGAATCTGAGAAAGTTACCTTCTGCTTCTATAGATGAAATAATACGGGGGGGGGATTTTATATCCTGTGCCTATGAATAATTGAATATATTCTTGATATAAATATACTTTGTTGTTGTTGTTATCTGGTACAAATAGCAAAGTCCATTTAGACTTAAATTGCCATGTGCCAGTTGTGATACTAAACTCTCTCTTAACCTTAATACCAAACCAACATACTAGTTACCATCATTACCCACCCTGCAGAACTAGGGCCTAGGGAGATTTCAGTAACTTCTGAGATGGGATTGTTTTAATTTACACATCAATTATATTCTGGCTGAATTTGACCAATATTGAGTATTCCAATTTTGGGGTTAGTAAGCCTTTTCCACAAAAAGCCAGGTAGAAAATATCATTGGCTTTGCAACATTATTTTGTTATACGACTCCTCTCACAGCTACTCAGTTATGTATGTCATTGTAGCACAAAAGCAGCTGTAGAAAATATGCAAATAAATAAGCATGGCTTTACTTCAAAAATTTTATTTATAAAAGCCGGCAGTAGGCAGATTTGGCCTAAGATCATAATTTGGCAAACCCCTGTTCCAATCCATGACCATGACATATCTCTTTATCTCTTAATTCTTTTTCAGTAATGTTTAAAACTTAAAAAAGAAGATCCTGGCCACAAATTGTGGGGAAATTTTCCCTTCTGCCTCAGTTGGGAGAACTCTCCAAGAGCTGGGGGGACCCAGAGATTGCCCTGCCAGTGGGAGCTGTTCTGGGTGGCTACCTTGAAGCTGGTGGTGATGGAGGCATATTTGTTGTCGGCTGTCTCTGAATTCCCTATGAGGTAGTCCCAGCTGGTGAACATCTTGAAACTGAAGGTAAAGTTGTCACTCTCCCCCTCACTCGTGCTCCCCTGGGAATTGCTGGCCATCCTGTTGGACACACACTGGTGTTATACTTGTCCTGTTTCTGCTGTAGCACACCAACCCTTGGCCTGAGCACAGGGAGGATGAACAGACAGCAGACATCCACTGAGGGAAGGACCCGGGCAGAGACCTGAGCCGAGACAGTTCTGATGACAGCCAGGGACCCTTCCCTCTAAATCCAGGGTCCCTGCAGACACACAGGGTGTCAGCGGGGTAATAAGGAGGCTGCAGGAGGCTGGTCGCTTGATGGTGTTTTCTACCCTCAGCCCAGTTTCCTATGGCTTGATTCACCTGCAAATGCAGTTTGAGAACTCTTTATGGGGACACTTCCAACCAGCTACATGTTCATGTTACACTAACTCATGATAGCACATGTAATTCTTACAGCATCTGCTCTAATAAGTAAGGGTATTATCTCTGTGGTTAATACAACTCAAACAGGAATATTTTGCCTTCTCAGATGTTCAAAATGGAACATCCCTTTCTTTCATGATACATTTTTTTTTTTTAAACAATCAACCTGTTGGTTTGTTTGAGAGGCAGAAAGAGAGCAAGCTTCCATGCGCTGGTTCATGCCCCTAAATGCCCACAACAGCTGAGGTGAGACGGGGGCTGAAGCTGGGATTTGGGAATACAATTCAGGTCTCCCACATGGGTGGCAGGACCCCATTTTCTTGAGCCATCTTGGTTGCCTCCTGGGATCTGCATTAACAGGAAGCTGGAGTCAGGAATCAGAGAAGGGAAGGGACCCTAGGACCCTAGGTGTGGGGTATACACACCCTAACCAGCATCTTAACAGCTAAGCCATATGGTCGCCCCAACATCCACTTCTACGATACCCATTTTCTAGTTCAAAGCTGAATAAATCCTATGGTACTTGTTAGTGCAATCATACCCATTTTCTTAAGCAAAATGAAAGTATGTTAGACCTTCCTATGTTCTCTTACTTGTCCTTCATATCTTATTGTCGCCTATACTTCACCCCTGTGGGGATCACCGAATTGCCTGCAGGTGCTCAATCAGATGCCCTGAGAGGTTCCTCCTTAGTTTTGTCTTACTTGTTGGGTTTTTAGATTGGTTGTTCCACAGGACTTAGTTGTTTTGGCTCACCATGGGAGCATTGTCTATCTCTATACTTTGTTTGGGATGATAAAAAGGAAAAGTAGTAGCAGGCATTTGCATAGTGGTTAATCACTGACATGGATGCCTGCAATCCAGATCCAAGGGCCTGGATTTGATTCCTGCTTCTGCTGCCAATTCCAGCTTCCTGCCAGTGTACTTCCTGGGAGGCAGCGGGTTACGGCTCAGGTAGTTAGGGTCCTGCCATGCACATGGAAGACCTGGATTAGGTTTCTGGCTCCTGGTTTCAGCATGAACTAACCTGCCTGAAACAGGGAAATAAGCCAGTGGTTGAGATTCTCTCTCTCTCTTTTTAAAAAAGATGCACTTATTTTTATTGCAAAGTCAGATATACAGAGAAGAGGACAGAGAGGAGGATCTTCTGTTTGATGATTCACTCCCCAAGTGGCCACAATGGCCAGAGCCGAGCCAGTCCAAAGCCAGGAGCTTCTTCCAGATCTCTCATGCAGGTGAGGGTTTCAAGGCTTTGGGCCGTCCTCGACTGCTTCCCCAGGCCATAAGCAGGGAGCAAGATGGTAAGTGGGACTGCTGGGATTAGAACCTGTGCCTATATGGGATCCCAGCACGTGCAAGGTGAAGATTTTAGCCTCTAGGCCACTGTGCCAGGCCCGAGAGACCTCTCTCCTAGTATTTATCTCTCTGTCTTTCAAATACATAATAAAATATATAAATTTTCAAAAAAGAAAAAAAAATAATAATATAATAGCTAAGGATAAAACAAGGATCTGACACAGTACCTCAGTAAGCTAATTCTCTAACTGTGGAGCCAGCATTCCAAATAGGTACCAATTTGAGTCCCAGCTGCTCTATTTCTACTTGGAAAACAATGAAGGATGGCCCAAAACCTTGGGATCCTGCACCCATGTGGGAGACCCAGAAGAAGCTCCTGGTTTCGGACTGGCCCAGCTCTGACTGTTGTAGCTATTTGGGGAGTGAACCAAAGGATAGATCTCTTCTTGGTCTCTCTCTTAATTCTGACTTTCAAGTAAAAATTTTAAAAAATTAATCACATTAATAAAAAAGAATAAAACCAATCTGTTTTCTTTCTTCCTTCCTTTCTTTCTTTCTTTCTTTCTTTCTTTCTTTCTTTCTTTCTTTCTTTCTTTCTTTCTTTCCTTTCTTTCTTTCCTTTCTTTCTTTCTTTCTTTCTTTCTTTCTTTCTTTTTTTTCTCTTCTGCTTGACAGAGCCGGGGATCCAGGCATCACCAAGTGGTCATTGCAGAGACCTGGGCAGGGCTTTATGAACAGTAGCATTTTCCGCCATGGTATTTACTCATTGGCCTTTTAGGGTTTCTGGCTTGGCTTCTGGGGGTGTTCTGCTGCTGTTCTGGAGGCAAAGATACCCACAGTTTTCTGGGAGAAATAACTCCTCAAGGTCTTGCTGAAGAGGGAGTGGGCCCTGCTGGTTAGCCTCCTGCAGGATCCTGTACCTCCACCTCCCCCCCTGACCTTAAGGGATGGGGTCCTCCGACCCCAAAGAAGGCCATGCAATAGCTGTGCCTAATTTGCTGTCCTGAGAATATGAACTCAGAGGCACAGACATGTTAAAAGAACATTTCTGACCCCAGATTTAGGTGTAGTTGGGTCCAGACATGTTAGCTATTGCAACATGCATTAATTTATTGTGATTTTTTTTGTCTTTATTTTGTAAGGCCAAGCTTGGTTCCAACATTCAAGCTAGAGTGACAGAGTTCTTCAAAGGAAGTCACATTCTGGAGGAACCCAGACAGGCCTTGCACACCTCCAGTCTCATCTGCTTCCTCTCAGGCTAGTCTGGGGAACACAAGATGATATTTGCTGCCTCAGGGCCTTTGCACACACTCCCCCTGTGGCAGCTGCTGGACTCATTGATAGTCATTTCCACTTCATTTTCAAGAACTTGCCCCATTACCCAGTTTATATCTTTTATGCCACACATTACAAAACATTTTTTTCTTTGGAGCATCTGCTTTCCTTATTGTCTCTCTAAATGCCTCACAGGAGGGCGAGTAGGTACCAGGTAGCCAGGGGAGTAAGCTCTTTGAAGACAAGGCAAAGTCTGCACACAAAACAGGTGTACTTACGATCTGATGACAATCATCAGGCTGTAGCCAAACACGCTGACCCCCACCATAAAGTAAGCCATGGGAAGCCTGTACCTCAGCCACCCAATGGTCCTCTGGTTGTTGTAGTAGCCATAGAAGAGAGCCGAGTACTTGATGTATCCCTGCAGGACAGCAAGTCCAAGAGCTGCGGGTTTGTGAGCTCAGAGCAGACAGGCACCAGACAACTTCCATCCTACCCACGATTCTTAGTGTTTTAACCAGAGTCTGAGAAGGAAAAGTTCTGAATGTTCTTACTTCTTTTGCCTCCCTGCGTGGTTCCGGGATCTGTCCCGGTCTCGTGCTTCCCCTCTTCATTCCTGTTATTTCCCTGTCCCATAAAGCAAATGGAGATATGAGAGAGAGGGGACAGTGCTGCTAGCATTTGAGATGAAATCAGGGATGAAGTGTGCATGTGTGTGAGCATGCACATGGGTGCAAGTGTGTGCATCCTTGCATGCACAGATATGCACGTAAAGCTACAAGTTGTTTTCTCCACCCTCAGGGGGCATAATTTAGGTAGGTGAGAATCTGTGAGCTTTCACAAAGTTTCAAAATCTCCAAGGAAAATGGTACATAGTAAGGTTCATGGTTTAACACCAAACTTCAAATTTTTTATTGTAATTGACTTAGATATAATTAGTACATTCTAAGATTTAATAACAATTTAGAGTTCTAGTACTTCTTACATGCCTTGCTAAACATAAGCAAGGGATGATTAATAATTAACAACGTTTTGGCTACACAAGATGGTCAATAGGGAAACTTGGGTGAAATAAAGAACAAGGGTACTCTAGCAATTTAGTTGGGGGCTCCTGCTAGAAATCATTTGGAAAATTACTCCAACTTAATTTTGTCTATCTCTGATGGGTCTCAAATCTGACAGAGAATGAGGAGGGGTAGCAGCAGCGGTGACCTGTTGTGGGCAGGGGCTCCTTGGACTCTCAGTCAGAGATACAGGGGTATGGGGCCTCACAGAGGAGGGAAGGCAGCTTTGACAAGGGGACCCTGAGCAGAAGCAGGGAGGCATGGAAAGCATGGGATGCATTTGGGGACTCCCCCTAATCTTAAGAACTTCGGGACAGTAAGTGTGAGGTATTGGGCAGATGTGGGTCTAGTCACGGGTCAATAGAGGTAGGCAGTATCAGGGTTAATACTGTTCTGTCGTAAACACTGATTTTATTCCATTTGGGAATGGGAGTTGGTGATCAGCCATGGTGGGGAGTCACAGATCAGGCATGCAATCCTGAAAGGTCACTTTGGCAGTGGAGGGAAAGGAGATTTTAAAATCTTCTAGAAGCTTCTTACAACACTTGTAGCAAAACTACAAGGGCTGGAGAAAGGGGACTGAGTCAGGAAATACTTAGCAGACAGGCTCATTGGTAGTGATTGGATGGGGGTTGAGATGAGGAGGGGGAACAACCTGACCATCAAACATCTCGCTTGGATGATGGGACGAATGGTGGCTCCAGTGATGAAGACAGGAGAAAGAGGTGTGGACTTTGGTTGGCCAGGTGTTGAATCTGAGAAGCTGTTTAGATGTTCAGTAGCAGCTGTCATGTGAGACTAAGCAAAGGACTGAGGGGAGAGAGCCTGTGGTCCTACTGTGGGAACTCGGGGAGAAATCCCTACTGTGGGATCTCCTCATGTAAAGATTTCACAGATGGTGGAGTGAGGGGAGCAACAGCCTCATCGGATCTCAAATCCATGAGTGAGTGTGGCTGAGAGAGGGACTGGTGGGAAAAAAACGATGGAGACTAGAGAGCTATAGTTGTAAGTTCCTCATCCTGGGCTCCGATGTAATCATAGCTCTGGTTTTCCAACAATTAAATTCAGTATTTCACACATGCTCATGCACTGTTTTGGCTTTGCAGCCCCACAACGGAAGTGCACTGAAGGGTTAGCAATGGTACCTCAAAGTCCCAGAGGACAGAGAAGTCCATGGCTTTTTCTTGCTCAGCCCGAGGCACTGTCTTCCTGGGAATACTTCCATAGGGCACGCCCATCAGTACCTTGAGCAAAGAGAGAATGCAGGAGTGTACGTAGAGCAAACACAAATGCACACACATTCACGACCCGTCCTGGTTTGAATACTTGCCTTTCAAGAGCAGGACACAGACATTCTCTTTTTTGTGAGTGACATTAACCCCCTTCCTGGCTTCCAAAGTAATACACACGCACTGTACAAAATGTGGAAAAACCACCAGAATATTTAAAAATAATTTATCCCCTTCTGAATCACTGTTAGGTATCTGTGTATTTCCTTTTGGTCATTTCTGATTATCCAACTATCTATTAGCATATATTTACTTAATTGGTTAATGTAATATTTTATGACAAATTCTCCATGCTATAAGGTGCTTCTCAAAAAAAGTATTCTGAAGTACATAGTTGATTGTATGTGCTTTATAATGAGCTTACTTAATGAACTGCATATTGTTGGACATCAGTTATCTCCTAACAATAGTTCCTCCCTGGGGAGAACTAGAGTGGGTGCAGGAGCATTTGCTTACATTTGTCAGAGGATTAAAATCCTAACTCCTGAGTCAGAGAGTGATGCTGAGTGAAATATAAACAGGGCTAAGTGGACACATACTGCTGATCTCCAAGTGTGAATGCAAGGAACTAGACGGGAGGGTTAGTGACATATTTGTTGGCATTCATCCATAGGTGCTATAGAAAAGCATCCAATGCTTTTAGAAATGATGTGACACTCCTTTGCTACCAACGGCTGCTATAATGCACCATCATCCTCTTTTGACTAATCTGCTTTAATTCACATGGTGTTGAAAGTAATCCGTTTTCTGAAAAATGGGTGTGTACAAAAGTCACACGTGCCTGCAGAAAGAATTGCCTTCAACATGCTTGCAGAATCATTTACAGCAAGATAGGGACAGGTCTTCCTAGAATCAATGAATAAATCCATAGGAAAGAAAATGCTGAACACCCAGGGAGAATTAATGCTGAGCGCTCTTGAAGTAGGTATACTTGCAGGTGCTTGCATACCCAGCACCAGCACCAGCCAATTCAATAGGACTGTGTCACTTAGAACCCTGGCCTCTGGAACCCGTGTTCCTTTGGGAAAGAATGCAGGGTAGTATTATGGGGACCTGGGGTCTTAATTCATGAAACACAAACCTGCCATGTGATTTGCAGGTGTCACTTGTACCCTGTTTTGTCTCTCAGTTATCTGCAGGTAAAGGTCTACTTACATCTACTGTAAGAGAGAGGGAATAGTTAAGAGTGATACTCAAAGGCAAAGTTTTTACTGGTAAAAAATGATAACATCATGCATCCTATCATTCTTTTTCACAGGGTTAGAAACAAAACAAAACAAAACAAAAAGCAAACCAGAAAGCATGGGCTGCCTTTGTGGCACAGCAGCTTATACCTTCATCGTGAGCCTGGCATCCCATGTGGTAGCACTGATTTGAGTCCTGACTGTTCTACTTCTGATCTAGCTCCCTGCTGGGGTGCTTAGGAGAGCAGGGGAGAATAGTCTAAGTACCTGGACCTCTTACCCAGAGGGGAGAATCCAGATGGAGTTTCAAGATCCTGGCTTTGACCTGGACCAGGCCCAGCCACAGCAGTCATTTGGGGAGTTAACTAGTAGATGAAAGGTTTTTTTTTCTCCCTCTTTCTATCATTCTGCTATTCAAATAAGTTAATACATGTTAAAAAAAAAAATAGAAAAACTCACTGAGATATTAGCTCTTTACTACTTCACTGATTAAGGTATAATGAAATGTAAAGTCATCTTGTAATTAATTCACTTGGTCTTAGCCAAAAGGCTGAGAAATGATATCTTGTAATTAATTCAGAAACACAAGAATTTTGGTTCCATTCTTTGTACCGAATGACTGACTTGTTTTGTAAAACAGTGTTTGGTTAATGAAAATGATGATGGTGATCATGATAAGCCTTGGCACTACCAACAGATATAGGAAGCTCTCATCTTACCTCTGGGATTATGACAAGACCAAATATTAAACCAAAAAGGACAAGGTTGACTCCATACATCCACCGGAGAAAGATGAAATACGATGCCACTGAAGAACCAAAGTGACCTGGGGGAGAAGAGGGTGGCGCAGTGGGTTAAGGTGCTGTCACGGCCAAGAACTGACACTGTTGTACATTTTGTATGTGCTGGATTCAGTTTTTACATCAGTCTTTGGAACAAATAGCCTGATCACCCTTCTTTCCCCCAGATAAACAATCTGAGGCTCTGCAATGATAACTTACCTGTCCAGCCTCTTTTACAAACTAGAGTGTGAGGATGTAGAATTTAAATCTTGGTGTGACTAGTCCAAACCCACTCATTATTTTTTTCCAATATAACAGAACCTACAAAGGTCTAACCAGAAGGTCAAGGACATAATCCTAGCTCTAGGAAAATTCTTCAGAAAACTAAAAGGCAATGGCACAAAAATACTCACTTTCAATGTCTTTGATTTTCATTTCCCAGGGGATACATTGCATCTTAAAATTATCAAAGTCTCTCTTGAACTTGACCCATTTCTGAAATAAAACAAGCGAAACTCTCAGTTATTTTTCTTATGAAGTTTAAAAAAATATTTATTTATTCTTATTTTAAAAGGCGGACTTACACAGAGAAGGAGAGACAGAAAGAGAGAGATCATTCATCTGCTGGTTTACTCTCTAAATGGCTGCAGTGGCTGGAAGTGGGATCTGAAGCCAGGACCTTCTTCCAGGTCCAGGGCCAAGGACATAGGACATCCTCTCACTAATTTCCCAGGCACATTAGCAGGGAGCTGGATCGGAAGTTAGAGGGGGTCCACTGGATGGCATGTTGATGTTTGACATGTCACCACGAGGGTCCCCATTCTCTACAGCGTTTGATCCCAGGCTGTCAGCAGTGGATATCCAAGCATTTACCTTTCACAAGTCAGGGGTGGGGTGAGAGAAGCCAGGGTATTGGCAATATTTTCCATCTGACTACACAGCTGATAAAAATCTCAGGTTTGGAAAGTATACACGTGAACTTTAGAAATTCTGTGTACAATTTCTGGATAAAAGAAATATCACAACACTTCTCAGATCTACATGTGATAGGAGTTGTTGCTAAATGACCAAGCTGGTGGAATTGGTAAAGAGATCTCAATCTATGGTTTCTCATTGTTCTCCAGGGAAAGCAACAACCATGGAGGGAGTTACCTGAGGCATTTCTGTCTCGCCCAGCTATGATCAGACACCAGCGTTTGTATCAACCAGAAACCTGAGCAGCCGTCTTATGTATCAAGTTGCTTTGTCAATCCCCTAAGGGACTGCTTTTCATCAACCCCACTGCCTAGAAAGAAATCCATTTGGAATCTAAAAATCAAACAACTAATAGGGACCAGAGTGGTGACACAGTGGGTTAAGCCATTGCTGTGTGCAGCATCCCACACAGGAGCACTGGTTCGAATCTTGGCTTCTCTGTTTCTGATTCTGCTAATGTACCTGGGAAGGTAGGCGATGAAAGCTCTAGCACCTGAGCCCATGTTATCCACATGGGAGACCCAAAAGGAGTTGCTGGCTCCTGATTTTAGCCCAGTCCAGCTTTGGCTGTTGTAGCCATTTAGAAAGCAAACTGGTAGATGAAAGATATCTCTCATTTCCTCTTTCTCACTCTGGCAGCAGGTTGCAAGGTGGAAAGGAGCAGAACCTAAGACCACTTGCTATTATTAAAAGATTTCCTAAGATAATAAAGATTTATTTTTATTACAAAGTCAGATATACAGAGAGGAAGAGAGATAGAGAGGAAGACCTTCTGTCCGATGATTCACTCCCCAAGTGAGCACAACTGCCGGTGCTGTGCCAGTCCAGAGCCAGGATCCAGGAACTTCTTCCAGGTCTCCCACGCAGGTGCAGGATCCCAAAGCATTGGACCTTCCTCAACTGCTTTCCCAGGGCACAAGCAGGGAGCTGGATGAGAAATGGAGCTGCCAAGATTAGAACCGGCATCCATATGGGATCCTGGTGTGTTCAAGGTGAGGACTTTAGCCGCTATGCTATGGCGCTGGGCCCCTAAGATAATATTCATAAAGCTAACATTTCCTTTTATAAATTCACTAAAGGACACAAAGGGAAAATTTACGGGAAGAATCAGATTGCTTTCCAAGCCTGACTGCTATGTCCTTCCTGATTGAATGGTTATTGCAGCAAGAAGGAAATCATCTGTCATTTGGAGATGATTGGCCCCTGTGCAGTGGCTCAATTGGGTTAATTCTTTCCCTGCAATCACTGGGATCCCATACGGGTGCCAGTTCATGTTCCAGCTGCTCCGTTTCCCATCCAGCTCCCTGCTTGTGGCCTGGGAAAGCAGTAGAAAATGGCCCAAAGCCTTGAGACCCTGTACCCACGTGGGAGACCCAGAAGAAGCTCCTGGCTCCTAGTTTCAGACTGGCTCAGCTCTGGCCATTGCAGCCACTTGAGGAGTGAACTAGAGGATAGAAGGTCTTTCTCTTTGTCTCTCCTTCTCTCTGTATGTCTGCCTTTCCAATAAAAATAGATAAATCTTTTTAAAAATTAGATAGTCACAGATGTACAGGGGAAGAGGATCCTCTAAGCAAAAGTTCTGGGGGGACGTGGGGATAGTAGATGGCAGACACTCCCACTGTTTGCCCTATTTCTCACTCTGTTCTCAGCAAGTGTCTGGCTGATTTGGCTTCCAATAGGAGTCTGTCTGTAAGCACAGCATTGCCAGCCATCCTGGCTGAGTATTTGGGTGTCTCCAGCTGTGGCTTTCATTGTAATTAGTAGATGGGACTTGGGATGATGACTTTCCTTTCCAGGTAACTAACTTGACTGTCAAAACTAAAAGATACCACCGATGTGGACTTAGAACTTCCTGCTTCTTGCATTGGTTATTTCTGCTTGTGAATTAGTCATCCAGTATCTGGTTTTATATATCAGGTTCATAAACTGCCTGTGACACAGATCTGCTGTCAGGGTGCTGATAAAATCGGGATAGCATATAGGCTTGCGAGGCTCAGGACTAGAGCAGAGGTAACAGACAGTGCCAAGTGAGGCTCCTGGAGGCCCGGCCCACCCCTGGGAAAGCATACAACAGCCCTTGAGGCTGTGCGGGTTCACAGCTGATGAGTGACATCCCAGAGCTGTGGCAGAGGCGGAGAGGCTTGGGAGAAGGTCAGGCCCTGGCAGTGTCATCTTCCCTTGGTTGACAGAGCCAGGAAATGGGGCTAGGGAATGGGTAGAAACCCCACCTCTGTTCCTTCAGGCTATGTGAGACGGGGGCTCTGAGACTGGGTTATTAGTTTCCAGATCTATCATCCCCATTATCACCTGAAGTTGTTCTAGAATTACTAGCCCCCATTTTAGGATAGAACTGATACATTAAGGATTGGTGTTGTGGCATAGTAGGCTAAGGTCTCTGCCTGTGGCACCATCATCCTGTATGGGCACCAGTTAGAGTCCTGGTTACTCTTCCAGTCCAGCTCCCTGCTTATGGCCTGAGAAAGCAGCAAGGATGACTCAAGACCTTAGATGAGAGACCCAAAAGAAGTTCCCTGGCTTCAGATTGGCTCAGCTCTGGTCATTGTGGCCATTTGGGCATTTGGGGGATGAACCAGCAGATGGAAAATCTCTTTCTGTCTCTCATGTGTAACTCTCTCAATTAAAAATAAAAAAAATCTGAAAGAATAATTGATATATTAGATTTAGAAGAACACAACAAAAATCATTTTACATACATAATCAAATGGACATGATTAGAATTATCAAGTATAATAAATCAGATGCAAAATTAATACACAAATTTAAAGCTTTCCTACATATCACAAATAACTAGTTATTAAATTAATGACAAATTGCTCCATTTGCCAAAGCAACTAGAATGTAATCAATATGGAAATAAACTTAGAACATGGAAAAGATTATTAAAATTAATAACTTTGTTGAGGAATGTGATAGAAAGCTTGAGTAGTATACAATCTTCATAGAAGTGAAAGCTAAATATTATATCAACAAGGAGTCCTCCAAACCTTAAGGATTAAAAAATAAATTAAAACATCAATATCTATGTTAGAACATGGCCAAGTGGTTTTACAAGAGAAAATATTAGGAAGACAAAGCCAAGACACTGTTGAAAACCAAAGGCAACTATGGGAAGCCAGAATGATGAGCCCAACGATTGTTCAAGTCCTCAAACAGTGCAGCCTTCTGAGCAAGTAGCTACTTCAACACTTCAAGGGAAATGTCCTTCATTACTCCCACATTAAACTGCCACTCACAGAACATATCCCCTAAGGCAGCGGCCCAGATGACATACTCCATAAAGCAGGCTGCCCTCATGACTGCCATCTACAGGTCTCACCTCAGCTTCCTGGAACATCATCAACTCCATGTGTCCTCCTTTGGGCTTGGAAAATAAGATCCCAGCAATTTTAACATTAAGAATTTGGTGAAGGGCCCAGTGTGGTAGACTAGTGGCTAAAGTCCTTGCCTTGTATGCATCAGGATCCCATATGGGCGCTGCTTGCCATCCAGCTCCCTGCTTGTGGCCTGGGAGAGCAGTCGAGGATGGCCCAAAGCCTTGGGACCCTGCACCCGTGTGGGAAACCCAGAAGAGGCTCCTGGCTCCTGATTGGCTCAGCTCCAGCTGTTGCAGCGTCTTGGGGAGTGAATCTTTGGATGGAAGATCTTCCTCTCTGTCTCTCCTCCTCTCTGTATATCTGCCTTTCCAACATAAATAAACCCCCCTTTTTTTTAAGACTTCGGTGAATTTATTCACTAGGGAGAAAATGAGTCTCAAATGTGTCAGAGCCCTGACAGATACTTCTACAGAAAATGGCTCTTTTTCATGGATGAACTGGAGGGCTCAGTTGACCTTCATGCTCAGGATTCTGGAGACAGCTAGGCGCAAATGGTGAAGTTGAAAATGCACATGGGATGCCCTCCCTCCTGGGCCCCGATGCTGGAGCTGAGCGGGTCTTTCCCACAGGGTTACCAGCTCTGCACACACACCTTTGCCATCAGCATCCTGTATGCGTACAGTCTCTTGCCTTTCCCCTTTCCCAAGGCTCCTTCATACTTCTCCACAAACTCTTGGGCCTCCCTGCTTAGAAAAAAGGGCAGGAATTTAATCACCATCTAATCAAAGGAAACATGCACTGTGAAGAGTGTGTGTGTGTGTGTGTGTGTGTGTGTGTGTGGCTGAAAGCCTCATGCATTTTCATATTCCTGATTAAAATGAAAATTTTATGAAGCCAGAGCATTTTCCCCCCATTTTTCCCATTGATGTTTTCCAAATGTCAAGTACAAGTTTCCCAAGTGCCTACAGAGTAGATACAGTGGTAATCAAAATTCTCTCCTTCTTCTCCATAGCCTTTACTCCTTGGTTCCTATCTGTGAATAAGCTGTGCTACACAGCAAAAACACATGGCAGCTGTAGTTAGGACTACTGGCTTTAAAACTGAGAGTCAGGCGGAAGCTGGTGCGGGCCTGGAGATGCCGCTCGGCTGCAGCATCCCACACTGGAGAGCCTGGGCTCACATCCAAGTCTGACAGTCCTGCTAGTGCACCGGAGGTGGCAGACGATGGCCCAAGGGCCTCATGGGGTTCCTAACATTCACGTGGGGGATCTAGTTTGAGTTTACAGGCTTCCGGCTTTGGCCTGACTCAGTTCCAGCTATTTTTGGCATTTGAGGAGTGAAATCAGTGCATGGGATGTCTGCCTGTGCATCTCTGTCCCTGTCTTTCCTGCTCTTTCTTGCCTTTCAAAGAAAACAAACAAACAACAGGAAGAACAACAAAAAGAGGAAGGCAGAGAGGGTTGTGGTAAGTGAGGGGAAGTCAGAGAACTCAGGAGCACAAAATTCTTGCTTCTCTTTCTGAGAAGAGGCTACACAGACAGCAGGAGAATGAAATGAATTCTTCCATGAAGCAGTGAGCCTGGAAGAGAACCTTGATGAAGACCACTGCCATGCTCATGCATTACTTTCAGCCCAGTGATACCCTAAGCAGAGAATCCTGCTGCTCCCTGCTGGAGTTCTGATTTAAAGAACTGTAAAGTAACCAATGAGTGTTATTTTAAATTGCTAAGCTTTGGGCCCAGTGTGGTAGACTAGTGGCTAAAGTTCTCGCCTTGTATGCAGTAGGATCGCCAGTTTTAATCCTGGCAGCTCCACTTCCCATCCAGCTCCCTGCTTGTGGCTTGGGAAAGCAATCAAGGCAGCCTAAAGCCTTGGGACCCTGCACCCCTGCGGGAGACCCAGAAGAGCTCCTGGCTTCGGATCGGCTTCGGATTGGCTCAGTTCTAGCCATTGCAGCAGCTTGGCCAGTGGAAGATCTTCCTCTCTGTCTCTCCTCCTCTCTGTATATTTGACTTTAAAAAATAAAAAAATAAACAAATTGATAAGCTTCTTGTGTTGTAAAAGCAAAAGAAAATCAATACTCAGGGATGGCACTGTGGCCCCATTTCGCCCCTGCAGTCGTGTGGGCGATCTGCAAGAATCTCTGGGCTCCTGGCTTCAGTTCAGCCCAGCTCTGGCTGTTGTGGTTCCCTTTGTCCTGAAGCAATGGCCATTTTTAGTTGGGGTGATGAGAATTAGAAGCTGAACCCAGTGCAGCAGGAAATCCAAATCCGCCAGTCCCTGGCACCTGCCCTGGAGACTGCGCTGAGCCACCCAGGGCAGCCAAGGCATGTGTGGCTTCCCACAGGTGGCGATTTTAAAACAAAACAGCAGATTATTTGACATTTCTCCTTTCAAAGTGTAAAGAGCCTAATTCTCCTCCCTGGGAATGTGGGCCAAACCTAGTCACTTGCTTCCAATAAGCAGGAAATGGAAGACGTGATGGCTCAGGACTTCTTAGAGTAGGACATGTGATTCCTTCCTTGAATTACCCTTTTTGGAAAAGAACCATCTGCTGTATCATAAAGACACTCAAGTAAACTGTGGGGAAAAAGAGTGACAACCCCGCCCCCCCCCTTTTTTTTTTTAAGATTTAGTTACTTTCATTGGAAAGGCAGATCAGATTTATGGAAAGAAGGAGACAAAGATCTTCCATGCACAGGTTCACTCGGTTTCATGTCCTGGTTGCTACTTCCTACCCAGCAACCTGCTTGTGGCCTGGGAAAGCAGCGGCTATGGCCCAAAGCCTTGGGACTTTGCACCTGTGTAGGAGTCTGAGAAGAAGCTCCAGGGCCCTAGCTTTGGACTGGCTTAGCTCCAGCCACTCTGGTCACTTGATGGAGTGAACTAGCAGATGGAAGAGCTTTCTCTCTCCTTTCCTCTCAGCAAATCTGCCTTTTTAATAAATAAATCTTTAAAGAAAATAGTTTAAAATAAAATGAGCTTCTTTTTAAAAGATTTATTTTATATTTATTGGAAAGTCAAATATACAGGGAGGAGGAGAGACAGAGAGGAAGATCTCCTGTCCATTGATTCATTTCCCAAGCGGCTGCAATGGCCGGAGCTCTGCTGATTTGAAGTCAGGAGCCAGGAGCCTCTTCTGGGTCTCCCACATGGATTCAGGATCCCAAGGCTTTGGGCCATTCTCTACTGCTTTCCCAGGCCGCAGAAGGAAACTGGATGGGAAGCGAGGTCACTGGGATTAGAACTGGCACCCATATGGGAATCCGGAGCATGCAAGGCAAGGACTTTAGCCACTAGACTACCGTACCAGGCCCTAAAATGAGCTTTAGAGGGAAGGACATAATATATTGATCTAGTTTTTAAAATATTGTCAATCTCTTTTCATTGGCATATTTATATCACATAATAATTACATGTAATGTAATCACTGATATATTAAAGCTTAAACTTTTCATTTTGCTTTTTGTTCTCTATGTATTCTCTGCATTTTAATTTTTACTTTTCTTTCTTACATCTTCCCATGGGTAAATTGGATATTATTTTAAGATTCCGTTTGCTGTCTCTATAAGCTTTTTATTCAGTACATAGCTGTATATTTTTAGAATAAAATGCAGAAAACTTACTTCTCTTTCTGCCCTTTTACCCTTCTTACTTAGAATTATCTTACACACTTTCTCACTATTCATCTATTTACTGGTTCATTCCCCAGATGGTTGAAATGAGTAGGGCTGGGCCAAGCCATAGCCAGGAGCCTGGAACTCCATCTGGGACTTTTAAAAATCTCCTTTCTTCCAAACAATTTCTCCTCCCCTGGATTTTCATTTCATGGGCTACATTCAATAAAACCAAATAGTTTCACTGACTAGGAGACCGCTGAGGATTAAGTGTGGAAGCTGAGACAAAGGAATTTCAAAAACTCTGACAGCTGAATTGTCTGCTGATAATTTGTTAGTAAACTTTTCCAACTATCATTTGCTCAGAGGCTAAATGAGTTAAGGGTAAAGCCACTTGTTAAAACACACAGAAAAAGATCAAAGGCAACAGAAAGCCTAAATGGGATTAAGCAAGAGGCAAGACAGTTCTTCCACAAGACAACCACTTTCTGGCAAGAGTTTCTGATGCCCTGCTCCATGGAATGATTGCAGCTCTGAAGACTCCAGCTCCTGCGGCCCTCACTCCAGATTTGGTAGCCAACATTTACGCCCTCAGGAGCGTACATTCTTGTACATTCTTTGAATTAACCTGGCTGCCTTTGCTTGCTCCAAGAACCCTACTTCTCTGTGCCAACAGTACCTGCCTCTCAGAGTGCTTGCAAGGATTAAATGACTTGTTACACATACCGCACTCACAACAGTGCCAGGCACACTGGGCACACTGAGCAAATGTTGGTGATGTATTAAACAGGAGAAGTATTAAATGACATATAAGACACAGCTCTGCCAACAAGAACATCAAGTTAAGAGAGAAGCAGACAGTGCCTTGGGAAGCAGATGGGGTGAATAGGAACTGGCCAGGTGGGCTGGCAGAAAGCAAAGATCTTCCAGGCAGATGTACCAGCTGGAACAGAACCCAGGGCTGGGACGCCTTGGATGGAAGTTTCTGGAGAACAAGGAAAAGGAGGCAGGGGTGCGGCTGGAGAGAGGGGGTCCCTATTAGCTGGAGAGACCTGCTCCAGTGGGAGAGATCGGGTTTCCTCAGACCTTAGTCACTTCCCACCATGCCTGGAACAGAGGCCCAACCTCTCAAAGTCCCAAGGAGATGCCAGATTTCTTTCAGAGGAAGCTGAACAGACTTGTGGGATCTTCAGGGTCCCCAAGATTTCATTCCCATGTGCATCAAAGTTGCTCTTTTTCCAAGTGTTCAGGTGACCCCCTAGGTGGGGTAAGGCTATACAAGAATGACCTGTGGTTGTTCAGCTCCAACCACAGGAGGAGGCAGGGAGAAAGGCTTTGGAGGGAGGAGCCTAGGAGGAGGACAGCCCAAGGCCTGGAGCTCAGCCCCTGGTCACATGCTGCTGTTGGCAAGTTTCCCCACTTTTTTCACTGAGAAACAAAAATAGTGTATATATGAATGCTGCCTTCTGCGATGTTTTGATCTACACATGTATGGTGAAATGGCTAGATCAAGCTTATCAACACAGGAAGTGTCTCACATACTTAGTATTTTTATGTGGTGAGAGCATTTATCTACTCTTACAGCAGTTCTTAGAGTATACAATCTGTTGTTACTATAAATCACTGCATGGTACATGAATCTAAATTGAAATAAAGAACAAGAACATTGATGTCTCAGTTGCACTGATGACCGTCACTGCTCACTATCCACAGGTAGCCAGTGGCTATGCTAACCTGATGGAGGGTGCTTCTTTCTTTCTTTTTTCTTTTTCTTTCTTTCTTTCTTTCCTTCTTTCTTCCTTCCTTCCTTCCTTCCTTTCTTTCTTTCTTTCTTTCTTTCTTTCTTTCTTTCTTTCTTTCTTTCTTTCTTTCTTTCTTTCTTTCTCTCTCTCTCTCTTTCTTTCTTTTTTTTCTGATTTATTTATTTTCACTGGAAAGGAAGATTTACAGACAGAAGAAGCAACAGACAGAAAGATCTTCCATCTGCTGGTTCACTCCCCAGGCAGCCACAATGGCTACAGCTGAACTGATCCAAAGTTAGAAGCCAGGAGCTTCTTCCTGGTCTCCCATGTGGGTGCATAGTCCCAAGGACTTGGGACATCTTCTACTGCTGCCCCAGGTAATAAGCAAGGGACAGAGGAGTTTGAGCACCTCATCAAAAGATGGAAAGCAGGACAGGTTGAACAATACTGCAGGCCAAGCTTTACAACAGGCAGCTAGGTCTGTGGGCACATGGAGGTACACATGATCAGCCAACAGACTTTAGAAAAAATTTCTCACCCTCTGGTGTGTTGAAGCTGACAACTTCTCAGAATAATCAAGACCAGTCAAGTAACATCCTCAATACAGTTTTCCCTGCACCAGGGCCTCAAAGAGGACGCCAAATGACCATCTCCATCCAAGAGTGCCAGTGCAGTGTGACAGCAAGGAGTGGTGTACTCCCCCTGCCCCTCTATTCTTCCTTCCCCTAACCCAGGAGAAAAGACTTAAATGTCTGTCTTCCCCACTTTCCCCCTCATCCTGACCCGCTCCACCCTAATCAGAGGCCCACATGAGTCTGCAATCCCTTCACTCATGTAATCAATATTAAAATAACAACAAAAAGGTTTAAAAAAATAATAAAGAACATGAGAAGCTGGAGTCCTTTGGGGGTAAGGGAGGAGGTTGTCGGAGAGAGCTCCCCCAGGAAAGACATGTATGTGTGAAGTCATGAGAGACACAGAAACTAGCAGACAATGAGGGTGGCCAGGTAATGGGAGAGCTGCACACTTAAGGGTCCCTGCCCTTCCATGCCCCTCCTGGTGCTGGCAAGCAGCAGGGCCTCCATGAGCAGTCATGGCTCATCTCTGCATTGGCTCTCATGGTACCTGTAATGTGTTTGTGTTTGAGTGCTGTGCTTGTGCTGGGGAGGTGGGAGGCTGAGAGCAGGAAGGGCCTCCCATTCCCGTTAGAAGGAACTGAGTCTTCTGAATGTTGAGAAGCCCTAGTCCACTGCCCACCCACTTACCTGAGTTCAGTCAGCTTCTTGGCCATGGGCCAGGGCTTGTTCCGCATGGTAGCAATGAGCTTCTTCTTTTCTTCCACCTGCTCCAGGATGCGGGCCAACTCCTCCTCAGACAGAGAGTCCTCACTGGAGGCTAACGAGAGTGACCTGGAGGCCAAGCCAGGGAAGCCCGGGGAGAGATGGAAGGCAGGTGGGTGTCACTGCTTGCTGTAGAATGGGGAGGCCTCACAGAGAAGCAGGCTCCCTGGCACTCAGTTGGCTGACCTCACCTGCCCCCTCCTCAGAAGCCCTGCAACACCCACCTCTGTCAGAGAGTCCAACTCTACCCTGTAGCCCAAGACACGGCAGGGTGATTGCCCTAAGGAGCTCCCTGAGTCTTCCCTGATGTGCCACACTCCAGGGCAGTGCTGGCCCACAGTAGATTGTGAGTCATATATTACAATTACACATTTTCTGGTCACCACATTAAAATAGAAAAAGTACTCAATAAACTTGATTTCACAATATATTTCACTTGAAAATGGCACTTTCAATATATTATCAATGTACTGATTATTAATGAGATACTTACAGAATTATCTTTTTTGGTAATGTCTTCAGAATCTTTCTATACTCACAGTGTGTGTCAACCCAGATATCACATTTTCATTGGACCTATTCCATCTGAGTTTGGATTTCATAAATTTGTACTTGGAAAAGCAAATCATACCCACGTCATTTTAGGCACACTTAAGAGTTCTCTAATAACTTGGTCAAGTAGTACAACATCATCTTCTTTTGATATTTGCTTCTACAATGACAAAATTAGCTAGTTGTGTCCTATAAGAAATGCTTTATAGCCATTACAAAACTATAGTCATCTGTCAAAGTTAAGTGAATTCACTGTTGCTGTGTCAACTGTTGTATTAGCACTGGATTAAAATTAAGTTGGAAGTTCACTTCTTCAGTCCTGTTATCTAAATGTCTAGTGCTTGAAGCCATGTGTGACTGGTGGCTATTACATTGGACAGCATGGCTGTGGAAAACATCCAGCTGGAACCCTTGTGGAATCACTCGCACCATCCTCCAGCCAACACTGGTGCTCTGTGCAGCAAAATCCAACAATTGGGAGTGCTCCTCAGAGCCTCCCCAGGGACTTCTTTATGATTGCCATGGTGACTCTCAGCTGAGCCGTTTGGAGAACAGTTGTACCTGGGCAACTAAGCCAGTTTCATAAAAGGCAGAATCAGGATGTGGGCTTGAGTTCCTGCAGGTTTCAGACGTTCCCTTGCAATAGTCTCTATTAATTTTAGCTTCTGATGAACTCCTGAGGGAGCAAAGAGGGTGTCCTGGAACAGGAGAATGCCCAGGACGGGTATTCTGCCAGACCTCACACTCACTCCCAATAACTGACTTTACATCTTTGCAAAGGGTGTTCCTTTGATTTAGGGGGTGTCCTGTTTGATTTAAGGGGTTGTCTGTTCTCCAGACCTTCCTGAAATGCTCACCTTGTGCATGGATGAAGCCTGGTACCTGGCACCCCAGCAGTACAGCGCTTTATCAAACACTATGCTATCTTCCCTGCAGCCTGCAACTTGTCTGTCTGGCTGGGATTGGGGTCTTCTTCAGTTCTCTACATCTTGTCCTAATACACAGCTGAAAATAGCACCAATGAGTCCCTGGCTCTTCCCCTCATTCAGCATCAGCCACACCTTCACCCGGGGTCCACTCAGGACAGTGGAAACTTGTGTGGGCAGAGAACTGCTAGACGCAGAAGGAGGGAACATCAAATATTTGCCCTAAATCTAATATTTCCAACTGCTTCCAAAACCCTACCTAACATCACAGGGGATTCCCGAGATGTGGTTATATTTATTTTTCCTAGCGAGTAAAAATGGGAGGAAAGGAGAGCAAGAAATTTTAGCAGAAAATTGGTAGCAATACATCTGGAAAAATGAAATCTCCACTTTCTGATTCCATGAGCTTGTTCTGTCCATTATCCCACATGTGCTAGTGCTAACGGAGCAAAATAGGCAAAAGAAAGAATTGAGACTCCTGCATCACCCAGAATTTCAGAGCCAGACCCCTTCCTGAATTGGGAACAGGTCCAAAGCAGGGCAGGGCAGCCTTAACCCTCCCAAGGCTCCCAAATCCCCTGAAGTTCCTTCAGCTGATGGCATTGGTGGCCCCTCGCTGCCATGTCCACTCAGTTTCACCAGCCTGTGTGAGGAGGCTCATCTGTAATAGGTTGGAAGCCTCATCCGCCCCCTGCGCAGTAACCAGATTGGAGGCTGCAAGCTGGCAGGGGTTGCCTCACCAGGAAGGGATCAGCTCCTCCCAGGAGAGGTCTGGGCGGCCCTGGGTCCCAGCCCCACACACCTGGGTTTCTTCTGTCGCTCCCACGCCTCCTCTTTCCTCCGATGTCTCTTTCCTTTCTTCGAGGACGCGCTCTGCTCCTTCAGGGAAGCCCGCCCGTCCCTCTTCCTCCTGCTGTCGCGGGCCCTGTCGGCAAAGCTTCGTTCCCGTCCCCGCAGCTCCAGGTCACGTCGCCTGCTCTCCGCCTGCTTCCTCCTGGGGGACCCCAGCCTAGGGCTGCCCAGGGTTCGCTCTTTTCTGCCCGATTGGGCTCCATGCCTGCCCTGTGCCGCATCGGCTTTGGGGACTGGTTTCCTTGAGGGCCTCCTCCCGGATCTGTCACCTGTAGGGGCAGAAAACTGACTGTTCTGGGGGCTTTGGTCCCTGGAAAGTGTCCCCCCCCCCCTTGCCCCCACGGAGAGAAACCAGAATTCCAGGAGGCTCGTTCTGGGCACAGAACATGACACCCCAACCCGCAGGAGGCACACTAAGTATTTTAAGCTGATTGGGAAAGCCACAGATGACTGATTCCCCTTGGAGACCCTTGTGTGACAGGTGTCCTGCCCTGTATAGGGAGGGAAGAAACGTCACTCAGAGAGCAAGAACCTGAACTAACTGGCCTTGCTGGGGTTCCCCTGCTGGTTACCCCTTTTTGTCCTTAAGTCTGCACAGCTATCTATGAAGTATAGCTTTCCCCAGGTCTTTGGGTCTTAGCTGAAAGTTGCCAAGTCACAGAAAAACTTAAACACATTGCATTCTCTCTCTTATTGATCTGTCTTTTGTTATAGGAGGTCTCAGTCTAGAACCTTGTGATGGGTGAGGGAATTAATCCTTTCTCCCCAGAGCTCCCAAGGCCACCGACCTTGGGAGCCAGGGGTAGGGATTGCCTCTCTCCTCTGATGGCCAGGTCTTTGGGTGAGAGCTGAGTCATGGTCCAGCCCCCAGTGCCAAGGTCAGGGGTGGGCATCCATCCAGTAAGGATGGATCACTGAGCCATCAAGGCCTGGCCTGGGCTGCTGTCTGCTGATGTGCCTTTTTCCAGCACGAGGAAGGAGTGGAGGGTGAGAGCTGCCCTGCCGGGTTAAGCCAGTTCCTCAACACTCCTGATATATGTATTTTTTTCCCCTCTGAGTGGTAGTCTGTGATAGAGCCAGTGGAGTACAATTTTCTCTGTGGGGTGAACTTTCCACAGCCATTTGCTCAACAGCTAGTTCAAGAACAACCAATCATGTAAGGCATTTACAAATAAAATACAGGCATATCCGGGAGGGTCTGGTGTTAATAACCAACCTCTCCCCACCCCCCTTCTTAGCTGGACCATTTTTGAATGAATCAGTTGCTCTCTCCAAGTCTCAGATCATAACATGGGTATATTAATCCTCTAATTTGATTGTTAATGAACACAGCACCAGGACTGACATCTGAGGGTGTCATGACCCAGACACTCCTAAAATCAAGATTTTAAAAAGATTTATTTGAAAGGCAGAACAATAGAGAAGGTGGAGGAGGAGAGGAGAGACAGGGACAGAAGGCTTCCATCAGCTGGTTTATTTCCCAGATGGCTGCAAGAACTGGGACAGGGCCAGGGTGAAGCCAGGGGCCTGGATCTGTAGCTAGGTCTCCCTTGTGGGTCCAGGGGCCTATGTATTTGGGTCATCTGCTGCTGCTTTCCCAGTTACATTAGCAGGGAGCTGGATTGAAAGTGGAACAGCAAGGAGTCTAATCAGCATTCTTATGGGATAGCCATACCAAGGGTAGCTGGTTAAGCCATGACACTGCCCCAAGAGTTTTTTTCATTTATGAACAGAACACAGACTTGGAGCCAGCTGGTCTGCACAGAAGTCCCAGTTCTCGCATTTCTTTATCTCTGTGCCTACAGATAGATGACCTTTCCGCACCCCAGTTCCTTCAGTGAGACTGCCTGTCTGCTTTCCTAACCATGAGTTCTGCCCTTTCACACTCCGAAAACTCACCCTGTGAAATAGCAGCCGGATCAGGTTGACCATGGGTGGGCACAGGTGGAGCTGAGGATTTGATCCTGGCTGCCTGGGCCTACAGCTTGGTTCTGCTGAGCATTACCTGGGAAACCCTGCTAGGCTGCATATTCTCAGCGTCCTCTTGGGGACTCCAGTGTGTGCACCAGCATTAGATGCTGTGCATGTGGGCTCTGCCAGCTTGCAACTTCTCTGTTCTCCAGGGAGCCCTGGGATGGTGGACACCACCCTGCTGAGAAATAAATATTTGCGGATTTATATCCCTCTCCTCTCTTTGGGCCATCCTTCAGCAATCACTGACTGATCCAGGGTTACAAAAATCCAGTTCTTCTATCTCAAGGCAGAGCAAGTCTGTGGTTTACTCATGCTCCAGACTCCCCGATGGGATTAGATGGAAACTAGATTCCAGCTGAACATGGATCCTTGCTCAGCTCCCATCCGTCCCTGCAGGATCCAGTCTCCCTTATTCCTTGTCTCCTGAGAGCAGATTACTATATATAGAAATCCCTATCCCAAGTTCTGCTTCCAAGGAACCTGACTTCTGGACAGGCAGCCACCTCTAGGTGCCATAGGGAAATGCAATGGAAATATCATCTGTGTGAGTGTGTAATGACAGGAAGCTAGACTGAGAATCAGAGTTGGAACTTGTACTTGAGCACTTCACTATGGGATGCAGATGTCCCAAGGAGTGCCTCAACTACTGCACTACATGCCCACCCAATCCAGAGTTTTTGAAGTTTTCCCACAGGTACTGTTCTTCACATGACCAAGCAAAAAGGCGTTTCACCTTTCTGTCGTCCTGCAAGGCCTGCACAGCCCTGGGAGGCAGCGCAAAGAACAGGAAGAGGTGAGAATTTGACAACTTGAGGTTTCAGTGTCTAGATGTCATCACTATAGGATGGCTGCCAGAGATGATGGGTGGCAAATCTCACTTTATTCTGCCCAGAATTTGGGCTGCCATAATGCAGTTGGGGAAATCTGCCTGGATGGGGAGCCACTGTGGACGGGGAAGACAAGTGCTGTGCAGCGAGCTGGAGCTCCAGGCCCTGGGACATTGTCCTCAGAGAGCAACACAGCAAGGTAAGCTGAAGTCAGGAGGTTCAATGATCTCCTAAGTGCCAAGACCTTTGCTTCTGCCTTCAATTCACCCTCAAAGGCAAAAAGAAAAACTCTCATTTTACTGATGAGGAATTTGTGCTGTGCCTCTGTCTTTACAAGCATGACTTTACTTCTTAAAAACTTTCATTTATCTGTTTTCATTTTGTATGAAAGGCAGAAACAAACATACAGAGACAGGTGGAGAATGTTCCATCTGCGAATTCACTACCCCCCCAAAAAAAGCCTGCTATCACGAGGGTGCACACGGGTGGCAGGGATATGAACTTAAGCCAGCACTGCTGCCTTCGGAGTGCACATCAGCAGGAAGCTGCACTGGACTCTAATGGGACACTTCGATATGGGATACAAGAGTTTCTTTCTTTTTTTTTTTTTTAAGATTTATTTGATAGAGTCCCAGAGAGAGACAGAGACAGAGAGACAGAGAGATGAAGGGAGAAAGAAGGGAGAGGGAGAGAGAGAAAGAGATCTACCATCCACTGGTTCACTCTCCAAATGGCCAAAATAGCCAGCTGAGGGCCAAACCAAAGCCAGCACCAGGAACTCTATACTGGTCTCTCACATGGGATGTAAGGAGTCAAGTATTGGGCCATCTTTTACTGCCCTCCCAGGTGAAAGATTGGCAGATTGGTAGATGGGGATGAAATAGCTAAACTCAAACCAGGGCTCTGATATGGGATATCCACTTTGTAACTGACAGCTTAACTTGCTATGCCACTACGTTGGCCCATACATCACTGTGTTTGCACTCCGAGGTCAGCCGTCAGTAAAAATAAGGGTTATTTGAGCACAAGGCAGCAGTGCTATTCCATGACAGTTGACTTGATGACTGAGACAGCTCTGAACTGACTAGCAGGAGGGTGGTGGATGCACTGGACAAAGTGATCATTTACAACCTCAGCAGGATGGAGAGGGGAACAGTGTGAGATCTCACGGCACTGCGGAGAATGGCATGCAGTTCTACGCTTCTAAATTATTTCTGGAATTCTCCATTAATATTTTTAGACTGGAGTTGATCGTGGTTAATTGAAATCACTGAAAGCAAAAAGAAGGATAAGGGAAAACAACTACAATGACCTTCAGCTGAAAACCATCTGCAGGCCCATTTGACCTATTCTGGAATTGGGGGAGTGACCCTGCAGCACACTTTGTAGGGTGAGAGCTGCACTAAAAGATCACTGTGGAAGTGTGGCCCAGGGCGACGTGGGCTGGGAACTGGTCCCCAGTTGTAGTGAAGGTCTGGCGAGCATGTTTGCCAAGGAAGGTTTACTTGGCTGTGAAAGCAAGAATCATGAGACAGCGGTGACCTTGGCATTAACAACCTTTGGGACTTGGTTTCAAATTGCTGCTGAGATCTCTATAGGGAATAATGAGATAATGGTGTAGGTGCACTGGAAAGTATGCAATGCTACTTAGAGATTCAAAAATAGGTCATTGCATGTGTGACACGGTAGATTTTATTAGTCCACTCCTACACCAACCTCTTTCTCTCCTTCCTTGTCCACAGTAGGAAGAGAGTCTTTGGCAAGGCAATGTAAAGAAAGACTGGCATAATAATAAATAAGTTAGGAAGCCAGTTTGTACTAGTCAGTGAGAGATGGGTTTGTCCAGTAGATAAATTCTTCACTGCTTTGGAAGGCTTCAGCCCCTTCAGTTGGGGCAAGGAGGATGGAGTAAGATGGTGGGAAAGTTCTAGGATTCAGCAAAGATCTTAAAGAGGAAAGGGAAGCAGATTTGGAGGCAAGGGTCAAAAAGAGACTCTCTCTCCCTTCCCCCTCCTGCCCCAATGGACACTGGAGGGAAAGGAAACATTTATCTCACTCACCTCCCCCCACAACCTCAACCCTCTCCATCCGAATCAGAGGTCCACATGGGTATGTGCACCCTTCACATTTGTAATAAATAAAATGAATAAATAAATAAATAGAAGAGACTCCTGAGTCCCCATCAAGACTAATTCCACATAGCTTAAAAGTGAGAAAGGCATTAATATGTGTTTGTATCCTCTAGAAAATTCTGCGAGTGTCTTCAATCAGTTAATAAGAGGACTTCCATTTTGGTAATGAACTAGAAGCAAACATTCTCTCAAAAAAAGGTAGATGTAACATGGAGTTCATCAATTGTTTTCCTGTTGCAATCTCATCCCCAACTCAAGGAAATTAGTGGGTGACATAGAAAACAAGCTAGCATTTGCCTTTGAATCTTCCCTGAACCTCGTCTACAGAGAAAACAAGCTGTTTGGTTTGATATGTTTTTCTTTCATAGCCACTTTCCCAAGCACTCCACATGATACATAATTTAGGAGCTCAACAGGCAGCTGTCTCACTAGGAAGCCCTCCAAGCACAGCACACGCTCCCTTGAACCTAAGAGGCCTCCTCATGTTTGTGCACCTGGCTGAGTCACAGAAATTATAGAGCACAAGCCAGGCTGGGGAGAAGCTGGAAGAGCTGAGAGGGTCTGGCTCGTCCTCTGCTGCAGTTATCTTAATGGCCCAGTGCACCTGCCAGGCGCTGCGGGAAAGGCGAGCGTTCTGATCCTTCATTCCAGTTAACAGGATGGCTAATTGTAATGATTTTGAGAAAGGAGTTGTGTGTTCTCTGACATTTTTTTTCTCTCCTTGTGCAGTGTAAACTGAAGTAATAGGATATCAAGTCCCCTCCAAGGGGAACCCACAGGAACTTTAGAATAGGAATCTTGGGTCTGGTGTTGTGGCACAGCAAGTGAGCTGCCAGGAGGGATGCCTGTGTCTCATATCAGGGTGCTGCCCCAGCTCTCTGATGATGCACGTGGGGGGCCGCAGATGATGGCCCAAGCTCTTGAGCCCCTGACACCTTTGTGGGAGACCCTGATGGAGCTCTCAACCCTAGTTGTTGCTTTTTGGGAAGTGAACCAGCAGATGGCAGATCTCTTTCTCCCTTTATTTTTTCCCTCTCTTTTTCTGTTACTCTGCTTTTGAAATTGGTTAGTTAGTTTGTTAGCTAGTTAATTAAAACATAGAATAGGGCTGGCATTGTAACATAGTGGGTTAAAGCTGCTGCCGCCAATGTCATCATTCCACATAGGTGCCAGTTTGAGTTTCTGCTGCTCCACTTCTGATCCAGATCCCTGCTAATGCTTTTGGGAAATCAATGGAAGATGGCCCAAGTTCTGGGCCCCTGAACCCATGTGGGAGACCCAGATGAAGCTCCTGGTTCCTGGCTTTGACCTGAGCATGGCATTTGGGAATGAATCAACAGATGAAAGATCTCTCTTTATTTCTCTGTTTGTCTCTCTACCTTACAAAATAAAATGAAGGTAATATGAACAGGGGCAAATATCAAAGGGAGAAGGTCTGGAAAGATGAGGAGGATCCCAGGGCCAGCCCCTCCACAATCATTGGAGGGGGTCCAAGTGAGGGCCCTCTTAGAATAGGGTGGAGGGAATCCTCCTCCATTCCCCTTGTAGTCCATGGCCCCCGAGATTATATTGGGGTGTAGGGTTTGCACTTGAAGCAGAGAGAATGATGTCACTTTCTGATGTCTTGTGACATGGTGTGCAGGGTTCCTGAGCTGCACTGCAGCTTTTGTCTACCCCTTTCTCCATCAGGCATCTGAGGGTTCCTCTGCCACCTGCCTGTGGCTTCTGCTGGGGCCAGCTGGCTCTGTCACAGACCCAAGGGGAAGGACCCCTAGTCCTCACTGCCTCTGATACTTGTCAGAGGGTGAGAGCATGGCCTTGGGAGCCAGGTCGCCTTGCCTGTGAGTTTCTCACTGGCCAGCCCAGGCTTGGAGAACATTCGCTGCTGTCCAGGGTCCTGTACTCTCCTGGTACCCATGGCTGAGTGTCTGGCTCTCTCTGCTTGAATCTCAGGCCCCTTTGCCATTAAATACCTGCCTCTGGTAGGTTCTAAGCACAATGTAGAAGGAGAGGGAAGATGAAGGAGCACATGGGCTGGGCAGATGGATAGCTGTGCTGGTGGTGCTGAGCTGGGCACAGCAGATGACCCGGGAACCCATCCCTTTTCTCACCTGTGCTTGGAGAGCTGCTCCTGGCCTGCCCTCTCCCTCCTCCTCGGGCTGTAAGAAGGGATTTGACATCAGTCTGTGTTCTTGGAAACCATCCCCTGGCAGTTCCCCCATTTCACCATGGGAACCCAGACCTGGAGCCCCCAGCTTGTGACATTTCTGACATCCTAGATACAGTCATGATGTCAGAATCTTTACCATCCCATGCCTCAGACAGATAGGCTAGAAGGCAAACGGACATGTGCTGAGGGACTGCCAATAAGAAATGTAACCAAGACAACAGGAGGCTCAGTGACCCTATGGGCTCTGAGGCCATGATGGCAGCCAGCACTCACAGTCCCACAGGTCTGAGCATGGTCCTTTGCATCTGTGGCTTTAAATATCCCCTGTACATTGTGCACAAGGCCCAGAAACATTGAGTACCCAGACTGAGGTCTGCCTGGCTTGCAGGTGAACCCTGCCCTCTCTATGCTGACTGCCACATCTGCTTCCTTGTAGCCACTACTGCCCATGAACCCGGTGGGTGGGCCCCACAAAGATAAGGGAGCAGACTCACCTTTCTCCTCCAGGCCCTGGGACTGGAGGCTCATGGTGGCAGGGTTCCCACGGGCCCTGTCTGGGCTCACACAGTCTGCTTAGCCATGCTCGCCTCCAGCCAGGGGCGCCTGCCTGTCCTCATGCTTGCTGGCCTCTCTTCCTGAGCTGGGCAGTGCTCCCTGCTCCTCAGGCTGTTAGAGATTGAATGTGGAGAGAGGTGTGGAGGGAGGTGGCAGCTCCCAGCCCATCAATCGGGCTGCACACTCCTCTGCTCAGGTTTCCCTGTGCGGAGGCACTGGCCTCACATTTCAGGCATCACTTACATATGAGGGGCCCTGGAGGGGCCTGGAGCCACAGACCAATCTTCTGGCAGTAATGCTGCTGGCATACCAGCCAGGGAAGATGGGAGGAACCTCTGGGGGTCTTTATGATGCTGACAGGGGCAAGGCACCAGTGAGATTCTAAGATGTTTGCACAAGTTACCACCCAGGCTTGTTAAAAATGCAGATTCTTAAGGGTCCTGTGTGGTAGCCTAGTGGCTAAAAGTCTTGCCTTGCGTGTGCTATGATCACATATGGGCACAGGTTTGTGTCCTGGGAGCCCTGCTTCCCATCCAACTCCATGCTTGTGACCTGGGAAAGAAGGCGATAATGGTCCAAGACCTTGAGACCCTGCACCTGCATGGAAGACCTGGAAGAGGCTCCAGGTTCCCGGCTTTGGATTGGCTCTGCTCCGGCCATTGCGGCCACTTGGGGAATGAATCATTGGACTGAAGATCTTCCTCTCTGTCTCTCCTCCTCTCTGTATCTCTGACTTGGCAATAAAATAAAAATAAATCTTAAAAAAGAGAGAGAGAGAGAGAAATAAATACTTTTTAAAAATGCAGATTCTTGAGATGAACACCGGATGTTGGAATTCTACAGTCCTAGGCCGGCCCACACAATCCTGCCCCCACCTCACATCCCGACCCAGAATTCCTGAGGTCACACTAATGAATGTCCCCTCAACCCACCTCAACGCTCTTCCCACACCTCCAGCCTCAGGGAGGGTAGATTTGGCTGCTTTGAAAATCCTCACATGAGATTCTGAAGGGACAAAGTCATGTGGCACCATGAGCTAAACTGTAACCTATAATGCCCGTATCCTGTATGAGTGGAGGTTAGAGGCCCAGCTGCTCCACTTCCCATCCCGCTCCTGGCTAAAACACCTGGGAAAGCAGCAGAAGATAGCCTAAGTATTTGGGACCCTGCTACCTGTCTGAGAGATCCAGATGATGTTCCTGGCTTTAGCCACATCCAGCCATCTGGGGAGTGAACCACAGGATGAAATATCTGTTTCTGTAACTATGTCTTTCAAATAAATAAATAAATCATTAAAAAAGAAGAGATTCTGAGATACCCTCAGGGAGGTGGCCACTAGGCTTTAGATTCTGAAGTTTTTAGCCTGGCATCCCTGGCATCTCAATGCTGTGGGTGTAATTTTGTGGGTCTATGAACAGTGACAGGGACAATAATGTGTGCTCATTTTTCCTAGCCCTGTAACTCAAACTTGTTACTTTTCTCAATTATGACTGAAGACAAAAACATGTGATTTTGTCCCAACATAGATATTTTTATACCACATTAAGCTGTCAGGGGAGATCTCAAAGTATCATTTATGCTTATCACCACTTTGAAATCATAATGGTTACAGACCTCCTGAGAGCTTGTTGTTTAGTTACTAGGAAGCACATGTGTCATAATATGGCAGATACTTAAAATGGTTTTCTTATTTTTTTCAGGATCATTGGCCTTTGTAATCCGAGTATTTTATTTGTTGCCTTTAAAAAAATCTAGGTTCTGAGAAATTTCTGTGACTCTTACTGGCATGCCAAAGGATTTTGTGACACAAATAAGATTTTGACTTTGCAAAAAAAAAATTTTTCTTTGCTGCTTTTTAAAAAATCAATCAAAATTTAAAAAACAAACAAACAAACAAAAACCACCTTCCTCAGGGCAAATCTGTGGCTGTCAAGGATACACCCAGCCTCTGGCCAGGTTCATGAGCCTGCTCATGTCCCCTCCAAGAGGGTCAGGAGGAGTGCCTGTTCCCACCTGGTCACAACATTTGTGCAGTGAAGGGAGGTGGCACAGGAACTGCCCTGTGTGCCGGACTTTTCAAATGCCCAACTGGAGAACAGCTCAAGTGCCTCTTAACTTTTGCTCCTAATAGACACTTTGCCTAAATCTCCGACCTACCCAGCTCCTGCAGTGCTTCCCCAGGCCTGGGCATAAGGATAGGGAGGGGACTGCTCACCAGGCTGTCCCATTACTCCTTGTGGTAGTAGCATCAACTAACTGCAGCTGCGGGGCCCAGAGGAAGGAGTCAGGGCTGTGCTGGCATTGCCCCGGCCTTGCCCCCATGCAGGGAGGAACCTGCCCTTCCCAACTCCCTGTTGCTTGGGGGAGAACAGCTTCCTAGACCACCTTCCTCTCCAGGGGCAATCCCTGCATGTTCTAGTGCCAACCTTGAACAACAATCACTTATTTCCTTTCCAAGAGAACACACACCTGGTAGATCCCTGGCATCCTTTCCAGGGATTTGTCTGTGAACACACACAGACACCAAGTCCTCATGGCTCCTTGGTGGCAGAAGGGGAAGTCTAGGAACTGACAAATTCCCCTTATAACAAAATCTGCCACAACTATTGCTATGGAATTAAGACTCCAAGTTTAGAAGCCAAACATTGAACCTGGAGCAATTTCTTTTCTCTTTATACACCACTGAAATCCAACCCAGTGCTTCCTAAGGCCCATACACATGTGGACAGGAGTGGGATGTTATGCCAGGCAGTGTGGAAGGCTGATTTTCAAAACTCTTTGAATGCAGTGTGTTTGCTGCATATCCATGTTGGCTGTATAAGAAACTTTCCTATCAGACCTCCTTGTCCCCTGCAGCAGCCTGGCGAGGCAGAGCTGTGACCCTGGGTTCAGATGGAGGGAATGCAAAGCTGCAGAGCCCGTGTGGCCCCTGGGGAGGTCTAAGACAAAGACGGAGAGAATCTGGACGTTGGAATATTCTGGCTTTGACTAAGCGACATTAAGAAGGTCACACTGACTCTGGGCCTTGGTGTCCTTGTGGTTCAGGGTTCATCACTAAAGCGGATGCTGCTGGAGGATGATAACCCTGGAGCTGGCTTTGTAGAGCAGTGCTTAAGCTGCTGCTTTGGATGTTGGTATCCTGTATTAGAGTGCTGGTTTGAGTTCTGACTATTCTGCTTCTGATTCAGTTCTCTGCTAATGGCCTGGGAAGGTGGTGGAGGATAGTCCAAGTAATTGGGTCCCCTCTACCCACATAGGAGTTCAGGGTGGAATTCCTACCTCCTGGTTTTGACCCAGTTCAGACCCAGCCATTGAGGCTATTTAGGAAGCAAACCAATGGATGGAAGAGTTCTCTCTCTCTCTCTCTTTTATCCTCATTCTGCCTTTCAAATGAACACATATCATTTTTTAAAGATTTATTTATTTGTGTTACAAAGTCAGATATACAGAGAGGAGGAGAGACAGAGAGGAAGATCTTCCGTCCGATGATTCACTCCCCAAATGACTGCAATGGCCGATGCTATGCCGGTCCGAAGCCAGGATCCAGGAACTTCTTCCGGGTATCCCACACGGATGCAGGGTCCCAAGGCTTTGGGCTGTCCTCGACTGCTCTCGAGCGGGTGCAGGGTCCCAAGGCTTTGGGCCGTCCTCGACTGCTCTCTCAGGCCACAAGCAGGGAGCTGGATGGGAAGTGGAGCTGCCGGGATTAGAACCAGCGCCCATATGGGATCCTGGCACATTCAAGGTGAGGACTTTAGCCGCTAGGCCACGCCACCAGGCCTGAACACATATCATTTTTAAAAGGATGTCATCCCTGCATTATTCTCTTTGATTTGTGTGACTTGATTAGACAACATGAAACTCCCTGAAAGTCAATATAACAGCATCAGAAGTTACTTGTGCAACCTTATAGGCCATCCAAAACCCCAATGTGGTGCTTTTGCCATAAAATCCCTTGCTAAAAGAGGAAGATTCCTGGGCCCTCTTGTTAACTTACCTCTCCAATTAAAAGGATATGTATATATAATTAGCTATGGCTATCTGCTTACAAAACATCCAGTATCGCTCACAGAATGTTGTAAACCAGCACAAAGGGGAGGATCCAGTTTCATGGCAATAGCACCCTGGCTGGACAATGTGAGCCAGAGCTACAGCAAGGCCACTGTCCTCCTCTTACTGACCCGCACCAAAAAGCTCACTGTTTGTGGTTCAGAGTGTGAGAGGGCTGGGAAATCCAGGCAGCAGCAACGAGTCCCCATGAGCTTCGCTTGGGCTTGCATCCCAAGCAGGGGGTTCCTAAGGCTTCTTTGGACAGAATGTTAGTCCCCACACTTTTGTTGATTAGCACTGAAGAATGGGTAGAAAGGTCATGTTTGCAAAGGGTTATTAGATCTACACTCAGTATCCAGGGCTGGCAGGAAAGGACGATGGCATTGCTGCCATACATCAAAGCACACAGATTGGGAGATGCCCACAAGTGACCATGCAGCAAGTGGTGACCACGGTCACGGGCCTGCTGCCTCCTCTGGCACTCCAGAGGCTGGATCAGGGAAAGAACGGAGGGAGCTAAGACTCAGAGGCTCCATTAATTCTGCCCTTACTGGAGAAGGACGGTTCATACCAGGAACTTCGTAGTAGTTCAATCCAGACAGGGGCAACTTTCTCTTCAACCTCCTCCCAAGACTGTGGATCAAAAGTAAGATACTGAAGGTTTCTCTTCCTATGCTTCTTCAGCTGTTGGGTGGAGGTGACTCTGCTATGACTTGTACAAGGGTCTGTTAGGGATTGAGTGAGATTGTAGGGCTAGAACCATAACACTCCAAAGTTTTAAAATGCTAAGAGAGGGCTCTGTTGACTCTTGCTCACTGTCACCCTGCTCAGTCTCAGTTTTTGGACCAGAAGTGTCCCACTTTGGTTAGCAGTGGCAGGGGCTGGGTCAGGCTGAAGCCAGAAGCCAGGAGTCAGGAGCTTCT